AACACCAATAATGCCAACATTACACTTGCGTTAACCAGTTTACTAAACAGTTTGAGTTACAAAACCTAACAAGATGATCCTTTCCCCATAACTCACAGAAAAAAAGGGATGTAAACAGACCCTCAGCATTTCAAACTGTCTACTGGCAAGTTCTCTCCCCCCCACACCACATGCAAATTCCCTCATCAGACACGTTCATCCCCATGCAACGTCTCCCCTGGCTGCCTCTGGGTGCAGCAGAACATCAGGAGAGGGAAAACAGAAGTATCTTTGAATACGGATGGCTTCAGGTTCTCCTAAAGGCGACATAAAGATCTTCACATGCACCAAAACAGAAGCATCTCCTTTCCAACACCCTACATGAAGTATGGAAACACACATATAAATGAGAAATAAATTGTCTGGGTTTACATGTCATGACAAGCAACCCTGTGTGGTTACTGTGCTTTGCATGTTTTTCTTCAACTTACTGGTCAGATGAAAAGGGTCATGACAGTAAATCTCTTCCCCCTCCAGGTGGTATCCCAGAAGACACTGTGGGGAGAAATAAGGCTTCTTTCTTTGACAAGCATGAGCACAAGCCACCTTAGGTTTCTCATGACTGTCAAGCAGTCTTTGTAATGCAACCACTCTTGCCAAGCAGCTCTCTGGCTCTGATCTTCATACTGTGATGGCTTGATTTAGACAATAGAACAAGCCATCGTGGTATGGAGAAACTATAGAATTGACCTTTGTTTCTGTTTGCAGTTTTGAAAGACCAAATGTACCATGCTAAAACACCATGATGGGGTTCAGATGACATCAGAAACCAACAATTGTAAAATCCATTGGGTCCTACCATGTCATTTGTACCCAGCCACAGAGTTCATGCCAAATTGTTTCATAGTACCTACCTGTTAACTATTTTATTTTAGAATTGTTGAAAAATAAAACTAAGGGAAATGCACCCTGTGCAGCAGAATTTTCACAGTTTGGAAGGGTGTTCATGCGACTTGGCTTGGCCTTACTTTCGCAAGTCTGGATATCCCAAAAGCACAATGGCAGCCTGTCACATCAGAAACCAAGAACCTGCAAGAAAGAGTGTTTGCAGGTATGCCCCCTCAATTTCTCTTCTGTGCAGGCACCCCAGGGCCTTTGGAGGGTTCTGGGAAGTCCCAACTGTCTTCTCAGTTTTGCCATTTACCCCAATTTGACAGGACCTCAGGAAGTGGCAAAATGGTAGGAAATTCTTCTACTCTGTGTGTGAGTGTGAGAGAGAGGGCGGGGGGAGTTACTTGCATTAGCATGTACAATGCTTGTCTGCCTTCCAGCAGGACAGTTTCCCCAAGATTAGGAGTGTTCCCTTTCAAGAGCAGGAGGAGCACCTGAGGAACACCAGGAACATAGATCTCTCCCAAATAAGGACATTACACTGTGAAGCGGGAGAAAAACTCCCCTTCCATGAACCATATTCTCCTGGAGCCTTGTCATCCCATTTGACAGCACAATCAGAGGTACTGGTGCTGGCAGTTTAGGCACCTGCTGGATTTGGACAGCATGCCTCCACCTGCCCATGATTTACCTGTCCATGTTGCACTAAGGTGACTAATCCCAATGGGATTAAACAACCCGGTCCCTTTAAATGACAGCCAAAGTTTTTGTTTAAAAAATCAAACAAAAAGACTCCAATGTTGAATACACTTGCTCATGCTCAGTATTGGACTTTACTTAAAAAATACTGGGTAAACATAGACATTCCCCTGAAGTACTGCTGGGAATTCTTAGGGAGAGGACACCTTTCAGATTTTCTGCAACAGGATTCTCATGGTGGCTTTTGCAATCTGGAAAAAACCCCAGATAAAATCAAACCACAGCCCACAGAAAATGGCTCACTGGGACACTGGGATACTGCAGAAAGGAGAATTGGAGGGACACAGCCCCCTCCACCCCCATGCATGGGGCATTTATCCACAGTGTGTGGGTAAAATTCCCAGGGGAGCTGTGTGTTGTGCAAAGCAGCCTACTTTACCCCTTTTTAAAAATGTCACATCAGTACATTAGGGGAAAAAATAGAGCACTAACAAGATTTTTATTTAAACCAAAAATAATGAGCAAGCTTTTTAGGGCTCTTCCAAAAACTCAATGTTATGTTAAACTGCAAACAAACAAACAAACAAACAAACAAACAAACAAAAGGCTGTGTTATTTTGGGGGCTGATAGAAAAGTACCACTGTGAACAATCTTGTAGTTTCAGAAATGTAGAAAATCCAAGTTCTTTATGTCTCGTGAGACATGGGCTTATGGTATGTGTTTGGCAGAGGAACATCTTGTTACTTTGCCCTGGGTATGTAACAATTATATTTAGACTGTGGGGTAGGAATTATACCAAGTATAAGGGATGTTTGCTTCCTGTTGAGGTAGCCCTCTTCTCCATTCTCCCTTGCATTCAGAACATGCATGTAAATAATACTTGATTCACAGTACATTTCTCTACTTATCCAGTGATTTAAATGAACTTTACTCCTACCAATGCAGCTAGGGCTGAATCTTGGAGCCAAAGTCCAGGACCCTGCTCCAAAGGACCACTCAGGGAATGGCAGGTGATTAGGACAGCAACAAACAGGCCTAGGGTGAACAGCTGGGCTGCCATGTGCCTGCCAGGGTCAAAGGAGCTGACACTGGTCAGTATAGAATCATTTCTGCTAAATTTGAAGAAAACATTGCATGGACAGTAGAAGATAAGCCAGTCATGTACATGATTATGGCTATGGATGCACATTTTATTCTTCTTATTAAATAAACTATTGTTCCTTTCTAAACCAAGCAGTGCTTATTTCCAATTTTATGTCTTCTGCATCTGAACCACAAGAGAAAACACAACTGCGACATGTTCAAATACTATTATTTTTAATCAGGGTTTATTATTTTTAATCAGACATCTGAGTGAAGCTGCCTTTCCCCTTCCTCCCTACCTGCAGATATTTAAAGTCTGCTCTCGCCAGAAGCTGCATGTCTGCGGTGGCGCCCCATCTGTGGAATGCAATCCCCAGAGAGGTCCGCCTGGCGCTGTCGTTATTTGTTTTTTGGCACCAGGCCAAGACTTTTTTATTCAAACAGTATTTTAATAATCTTTAATATTTATAGTTTTAATTATGCAGCCAGTGTGTTTCCAAGTTTTAATTGTAATTGTATTGTTTTATTTATTTGTTGATGTGAACCATCCTGAGGTTATGTAGCAATGGGGATGGCATATAAAAACTTTAAATAAATAAATAAATAAATAAATAATTTAGGGTGCAGCTGGTTGGAGGAAAGACCTGTTTTACAGGCTGGGACACCTAGCTGAAGCTGTTTCCTTCTGCCTTCCCTTGCAGGTATGCAAGGGCTATTCCTGACAGGCATGATTCCTCAGCATGAGCAGAAGGGGCTATTCATCTCTAATTAACTCAATACACTATCAGAGGCCATATCTTGGAGAACAAAGGAGCAATTGCAGACATTCACTTGCTCCTCTGTAGCTGTTGCATTAAGGGACAGTGCTCTCTGCTTTATACTGTTATTTTGAAATGTTCCTGGGAAATGTATTACATAATATATTTGGAAGTGGGTGCAGGACAATGGCATTCAATGTGTATAAGTGCAAGGTCTTGCACTTGGGACACAGGAGTAAGTGCCACAGGTACAGGATGGGGGAAAAGTGGCTGAAGATCCCAAAAGGGATCTTGGGGTACTGTTGAGAGCAGTCTGAATAGCAGTGACACTGCAGTTAAGAAGGCAAACACCACCTTTGGATGTATATCCAGAAGTGTGGCTTCCAGATCTTGGGAGGTGTTGATATTGTTCTACACGACTCTGGTGTGCCACAACTGGAGTACTGTGTCCAGTTTTGGGCTCCATTATAGGAGAGACATAGCTAGGTTAGAATCGGTTTAGCATAGCATCACAAGACTGTTAGCTGAGTTGGGAGGGATGACATATGAGCAGAGGTTGAGGGAACTGGGTCTTTTCAGCCTGGAGGAGACTCTGAGGGGATCTTTTAGTAACTTATAGGTATGTGGAGGAGGGTTGTGACCTGTTCTTCTGTAGAGAGCAGGATGCATTCCAATGGGGCAAAGCTCAAGGAACCAGGCTTCAGGTTGGATGCCAGGAAGTACTTCCTGATGGTTAGGACCCCTAGGATATGGGATGGGCTTCCAAGGAAGGTTGTTGAGGCCCTATCAATGAGCAGTGAGGGTGTTCAAGGACAGATTGGGCAACCACATGTGGGAGATTGCATGAGTGGAGCTGGCTGGAGTCAGAGGGTCAGGGTAGATGACCTAGGAGACCCCTTCTGACTTACTTTGTTTCTATGTTTCTATAATCTAGGTGGGGAAAGGGGATGCCTTATCAGTAGAGAGATGGGTAGGGGTAGGTATGACATTGGGGATTTACAGGGCAATTGAAGAGAATAGAGACTAGTCATTGTATACCTATCCTTCTTTCTGGTTTTCTCTCCAACCTGTTTCTGACTGTCTGGAATGCATTCTTTCCCAGCTGTGCTCTCCTGCCACATGATCACGTAATCATGTGATGGGAGAGCACATGAATGGAATGGTATTTGCTCTGGTCTGTGGGAATTCAATCTCCCTCTGTAGGCTTCTTGTCCACTCAAGTGTCACTTGAGTGTTTGGACCTTGTATTATTAGGTACCTTACACAGATTAAAGATTCCACATCTTGCTATTCTTCAGTGTCCCTACCTAAACTGATGAGGTGGCTTGGATTCAGTTTTGTAGACACATAAAATAATGGTTCTAGTTCCCAGCCAAAGCTACTGGATCTGGGCTGGTTCAGGATTTCATGGACCCCATGATAACCATACTTGATTTGGATTTCCTCATAGGGCAGGGATAGTGATCTGAAAGTGTGGGAATTTATATCTCTCACTTTCAGATCATTTCCTATTGAAGTTCAGACTCCCACCAACTTATCCTCTCTTCAAGAGTGAAGAACCTTTTAAAATGCTCCACCTTCAGAGACAAATGGTTTCTACTGGATGCCAAAGGGCTCTGGGATATTTTCTTGCTGGTATTCTTGTAAAAGCCCAGATACCACAGGACTCTACACTATCTCCAGTGTTGATCAACTTCTACATGAAAGTGCCAAGTGAGATTATCCAGAAACCCAGTTATAACACTTCTCCTCATCTATTCCAGTTAAGGAAGTGGATGTTCTGAATCGGTACTTGCTCACAGTAATGGATAGGATGAGGGCCAGTGATTAACTGAGACTTAACTGAGACATCACTGTTAGTGGTGATTTATCTGCCCAGCTAGGTGATATTTCAACATGTTTGGGCTGTGCAGAGGAAGGTTTGTGCAAGACGAGGAGCTTTGCTGTACAGGCACTGATTGGACGAATGCCTAGAGATTGAAAATGACTGATAAGACACACAAGCTGGCACTCCTCTCTGCAGCTGCAGGAGAGCATCATGGGCACAGCGGAAGAGAATGAAGTAGAGAATCACGCAGAAGCTGGCATCAGGTTGGCAGAACATTTGCTAATGCCCGGCTAGCTTGTAGCTATAAATGCCATGAGGCCATTGCTGTTATTATTGTTTCAATATGTTTGCCTCCACCTGCTGCTTTGCAGCCCTTACATAGAAGGTCATATACTCTAGTTTATCCTGAAAGGCTGCCTTCACCCATATGGACTGGCCTAGAGTAGAACTTTGGAGGGGGCCCTTCATATGCTACTTCTTCAGAGGTGCATTTGGTGGCAACCTGAGAGTGGACTTAAAGGCATGGCTGAAAAAAAAGGTGCTGAGATTGAAGAATATATTCTCACTATATATGCAGAACTAGACTTTGCAATTCATTGTAGCCAGTAAATTATAGCACAAGAAGGAACACTTATTTATTCAAGCTGTATCCGACTTCCCACCAAGGAAGAGGCACTCGAAGCTGCTTACAATCATAGATACATACAAATGCAACCAAAACAAACACCCTCCAGTCACTTTGAAATGTTTCTTGCTGTAGCACAGAGAAGAGCCGGCACAAAATCTCTGCATGACTAAAACTCCAGGTACAGGTGCGAAGCATTGTCTGCTGGCCTCAAGGTGCATCTGGCTGGTGGGTGACTTCTTCCTTTCCTGGTTGCCTGCCTCAGCAGTCTCGTGGGCACCCACCAGCCTTCTTCAGAGCTCCTCTGAAACCAGCGGAACTGCCTCCCAAGCTTGCTTCTAGTAGGAAAACTGTCCTGTCTATCCCAAAAACCTGCAGTCACATTCTGAAAGAGGACACGCAGTCACGTACCGCCGGCTGGAGGCCACCTTCTTGCTGATGTCACTCGCCCACACTACACCTGGAAGGGCCATTTCTTGTCTTGTGATCCTGTAAGCACGGCAGCGGCTGGAGAACCTCAGAGCTCCGTGGAGAGCGCCGCGCGAGAGCGGCCCGCGCCTGCTGCTGGAAACAGAGCAGAGGGCGAGGAAGGGGAGCGCTTGTCCCGCAGAACTCCCAGGCCCCGAGACGCACTTCCATCTTGACCTGCGAGAGCGCCCCGGCCGCGCTCGGAGCGCCGCGCGTGGAAGCCGCTTCCCCTCCCCGTGCGTGGGCGCCGAGGACGCGCCTCTCCCTCGTTCGGGAAGGCTCGCCGCAGATGCCGTGCCGCCGCCGCCGCCGCTAGCGGAGCCCTTCTTGCCCCCACTCAGTGCGAGCGGGTGGATAACCATGAGCAGCTATGAGGTCAGCCGGTGGGTGGCCACGAAAGAGCCTTGAGGGGGTTCCCTTCGCATGAAAAGTGGGTGCGCCGAGCAGTCCGGAGAGGTTGAGTCAGGGCTAGGCGTGCGAAATGCTGGCGGATGCGCGGTGGTGCTTCTCGACTCGCATGAAATCAGACGGATGTGGCGGAGAGGGTGGGAGCGGGAGGGTCTTCGCAGGAGCGCTTTCCTTTCTGCCTGCCTCTGGATGCCTTTCGCGTGTCTAGCCAATGCGCCGAAGCTCAGCCTCGGTTCCTGAGAGCACCTGACGGAGCGTTTGCTTCTTTGCGGGAGCGCTGATGGCGCTCTTTGCGAGGTTTGTGCCACGGAAGGCCCTCTGGGCAACTTCTTGGGATCATCTGTGGAGACGGTGCAGAATGGGGCTTTCTTTGCACGAGCTCCAGCGCTCGGGAGTTGCAGGCTTCTTTGGAGTCTTTTCTGCATTAAGGATTTAAGAAGTGCGATCCTTAAACGTTCTCGAACTGGGGTATTCATGGAGGCTTTTTTGGCCTTGCTCCCCATTTAATAGAAAGAAATATGAAGATGGTGTTGCTGGTACAACTATGGAGGCCAGGAGCACAACTATAGGGGATGGATTTATTCACAATGTCTCTGGGAATAATCATGCTGACTCATAGGGCTGTTGTAAATGTTGTCACCCCTAAACACATGCCATGCATTTATTTGTGTTTATTGGGAGTGGTCATGCTTCCCCATCTGATTGGGTATGATTGCTTCATGGCAGACACGTTTTGCAGGAAACGACAGTTCAGGTGGAAAAAAAACATGTCCCCTTCCGCTTACATGCCAGTGCTTATGAACTAACTCAATTGATCAGGAAGCAGAAGAAATGTGGGCAGATATAGTATTAGGGAAGAATGCAGAAAGACAATTCATGTAGCAAAAAGAAAAGAAAAGCCTGGATGGGTGGTTTAAGAAATACAATTGTTGAAGACAGGAAAGAAGCAAAAGGTAACAGAATCCCAAACATAACTTTTCAGTGACTATCATTTGAAAGAAAAAGAACCATTACAAAGGCTAGTGTAAAGAAGTACAAAAGAACAATAAAAGAGGAAAAATAGGAGACCTCTTGTAGAAGATTCAAGAAATCAAAGAGGAATCCATACCTAGATTAAGAATACTGAAAAACTAAATGAGATCATACCATCTGACAAGGATAAAATATAGAGAGGATGGAAGCAATATACAGAAGAAATGAAAGGATGGCAGATTCTTTTGAAGAGGAGTCCTATGAGGAAGAACCTGCAATATCAGAAAGTGAACTGAAAGCTGCTTTGAAATCACTTGGAAGGAATAAAGCACTCAGAATAAAATGAATAAAACCATTCCAAGCTGCAGAGATTGAATCAGTCCAAATCCTAACAATACTATGCCAATATATGTGAAAAACAAAACTATGATTCACAGGCAGGAAATATTCAATATACATTCTATTCCTCAAGAAAGGAGATGCTAAGGTGTTCAGCAGCTATAGGACTATTGCATTAATTTCCCATGCAAGCAAAGGGATGCTGAAGGTTTTGCAGCTAAGGATTTTATCCTGTATAGAGTGAAAAATGTCTGACATTCAAGACAGGTTCTGAAAAGGAAGACATACTCAAGATCAAGTCACAAGGAAATGTCGGCTACTGGAGCACACCAGTTTCAGAAGATCAGTCCACAATTTATAGACTTCAAGAAAGATGTTAGTGTAAATCATGAGACTCTATGAATGGTCCTGAAAGAAATTGATGTGCTTCTGGCTTGATTTTCCTGATACATAAACTGTACACTGGACAAGAAACTACTTTTAGGACAGAATATGGAGAAACAGAATGGTTTCCTTCAGGTAAAGGTGTTAGACAAGTGTGCATTTTATTTTTTTTTATCTGTTGAATCTGTACACTGAACATATAAGAAAGCTGGATTAGGAAGGAGGAGTGAAAACTACAGACGATACATCAATATTTTAAGGTATGCAGATAATCCCGTATTAATGGCAGAAAGCAGCAGTTCAATGACTCGACTCCTGATGAAAGTGAAATGAAGTGCAAAAGCAGGATTTCAGCTGAATATTAATAAAACAAAAACATGACTGCAGAAGAATTACTTTAATGTCAGTAATGAAGAAATTGAAATGATAAAGGATTTTCCATACCTTGAGTCAGTCATCAGTTCAGTTCAGACTGTAGCCAAGAAATTTGAAGAAGACTGAGACTTAGAAGGGCAGCCATCAAGAAACAAGTGAAGTTGTTTCATTGGAAATGAAGGCCAAGATAATCCAAACTATTGTATTCTCCACCACAGTGTCTGTGTGTAAAAGCAGGACACTGAAGAAAGTTGACAGGAAAGACAAGCTGATGCATTCAAAACATGGCACTGGAGGACAGTTTTGTGAATACCATGGACCAACTGAAAGAGGAACAAGTGGGTCCTACAGGAAATTAAGCAGGAACTTTCTCTGGAAGCAACAATGATGAAAATGTTGTACTTTGGGCATATCAGGAGGAGGTGAGACTAACTGGAGAAGCCAGGTGAAAATTGAAAGAAGCAGAGGAAGATCAAATATGAGATGAATCAATTCCACAAAGGAAGTCAAAGCCTTGGGTTTACAAGAGCTGAGCAGGGCTGCCAAGAACAGGACATTCTGGAGGTCATTTATTCATAGGGTTACCAGAGGTAACTTGATGGTATGCAAAAAGACCAAAGTGCAATGGTACCATTGCAATGAAAATTAGTAATGAGTATGGTTAGAATGTTTGACCAGGAGCGATCTGGTCTCTAGCCCCCACTTAGCTATGAAACACACTGGGTGATCCGAGGCCAGTCATTGACTCTTAGCCTAACCTACCTTGTAAGGTGTTGTGAGGATAAAATGGGAAAAAAGGTCTTATCATACAAGCCTCTCGGGTTTCTTGGAGGGAAAAAAGGCAGGCTATAAGTGTAATAATAAACAGCATAAAATTTGTTCCTATACATCTTTCTGTAGAGTGTGGGGAAGAAAGAAAGGGCCAGAGGGCATAATTATGCTGCTATTTCCCCCTTTTCACCTGAATGGATTTTTTGCAGGAAGAAAAAAGATTGAAGAAGTGGTGGATAAATGCTGATGGTTAATGGGTAATACTAGATGATATCTGGATCCCCAGTTAAATTCTGTGAATAAGGCAGGGTGATAGTGTGACATAAACTGTTGTCTGGAAGCACTCTTTAATACAGGATACTTCTAGCTAATAAGGTAAGCAGGATGCCAACAAGGGGAGGGAGGCAAACAGGAACAGAGTACTAAGGAACAGATTAACTAAATTTGACTGTAATATCATAATAATAATTATTATTATAATTATTATTATTAGAACATTTCTATGCCGTCCCTTGCCGAAGCCTCGGGGCAGCTTACAACACAATACAACACAATACAATACAAAAATAACAATATAAAATTAAAATTAATAATATAAATAAATAAGAAATATAAACGATATAAAAGAAGTTATAAAAGAAAAGAAAAGAAAAGAAAAGAAAAGAAAAGAAAAGAAAAGAAGTCGCCCTGGCCAGATAAATAAGTAAATATTGTTAACAATTAAAATGACGTTTAAATAAAAAGGTCTTCACCTGGCGCCGAAAAACAAATAACTACAAATAATGTAGTTTAGCATTATGAGAATGAGTTGCATAGGCTCATGCACAACTCCTTTCCCCTCTTTCTGCAGAAAAGGGTTCTGGCTCCTAGGAAAAGTCCGAAAGCTTTTACTTCTGTTTTTGTTGAGCCACAACTGGTTGTGTCATCCAAATCATAAACTGTGGTTACTCTTAACGATGGTTAAAACCATATGGTTGAAACAAACTGGCTTTTTAAAATATGGGCTGAAGTTAGCTTGTTTCCATTCATTAGCTAACATTAGTTGTTTTTGAGCAAGACGGTAAGCAAACACTTCCAAATTTCTCCTTGAAGGCATAGTTGAGGAAAGCAGAAAGAGAAGAGTGTGTGATTCTACCAAAGGTTCTAATCTCTTGTGACATTAACCAGTAGTTTTGTGTTATGCCTGAGTCTCAACACTATGTCTTCTGTATTGCCAGTGCTTTCTGAACATTACTGGAAGGCATCCCATTAGCAAATATGTGTTGGCAAGCATGGTCCTCCTGCTGACCACTGTGGTTTCTGCATTGGCAAATGCAGACTTGCCGTTACCTTCTGGCAGGCAGTGCTCCTTACACCTGTTGTGGTCTAGTATCTCTTGCTCCTTACACCTTTCTGCTCTAGAATCTGAGCTATGAATTGAAAAGTCATCAGTTCAAGTCTTGGATGACCCATGAGATTAGTCAAGTCATTTATACCATCTGTAATATGAGTAGACTAATACTTGGGATAGTGTAAGCAAATAATACTCTCTGAAGCTTGATAAAATTTACAGCAAAGGATAGCTCAAAGGCTTTAGCCTTGACTTGGGATAGACTAGATGTGGATTAATTTGTCATGTAAATTCTTTCCTTACCAAATTTGCTTAATGGGAAGCATTAAAACCTATTGTTTAGTTTTAAATTAGTACAAGAAGTCAGGCAGCCATCATGGCTACACTTAGGAAGTAAGTCCCATTCAACTCTGTAAGACTTACTTCTATGTAGATACATTTTGTCATTCTGCCAAAATAAACTGCACTCCACACCATCTTTTGTCTCCCAGAGAGCTGTTATGTAGTAGTCTCTAAACATGTAAATAATACAGATTGGCTAGTTTATGTCTGAATGTCTTTGGACAGTTCAGTGGCTTCTATTGCTTGTTGTGAGTGAAACCTTTGGCAGCACACTTTAGCTTTTCTGAGATGAAACTACTATAATTCCAATGGAAAGAATTTCATTTCACTTTTCTACTTTTTCTTAACAGGAGGTGATTAGTGTGAATAAATGCTATGTACCTGGACAGCTACTTGTGACTGACTCTGAATGCCTGACATACCTGCTAGAAGAATGGATTGTTCTGAAATATCTTCTATATATGATCATCTGTATAATACTTCTATGGTGTAGCATTGCAGTATTTTCTAGTATTGTTCCTTTATGCATTATGCTTTTTATCTACCTTTCTGCTTTATTCCTCCTGATCTATCAGAGGACTCATAAACTAAATGGACCTTATTACAGTGATGCATGGAATGATGTACGATTAATTTTATCAACCATATGGGATGGATTTGCAAGATTTTGGCATGGTAAGTAACTTTGGATATGTGAACCCTAGCATCTAAGACAAAAGATCTCCCTTCTATAGATACTCACCATACAGGTATGGATGTATTAGTATAGAAAAGAATGTTTTTTATTGCTAAGGATTGTTTCAAATGATGCATATGATGTGAGTCAATCAGCCAAAGTGACCTCCAAGGGCCACTTCGGTACAAGCTTTTCTTCAAAGTCACCTAGCACTGCTACCTACTGAATTTCAGAGAATAGGAGGACTCTTCCCTTTATATATGTGGCAATGTAATTCAAAGCAAGCGTGCAGAGTGAGATAGAAGTCCATCAAAGACACTTGTCTGCAATCCCCTAAAGTGGAGAGAAAATGTGTGCTTGCCTATAAATGCCCTGCATTTCCCTGCAAACCCTTCAACCAAAAATGACTAAAATGCCATGGAACATGGAAAGCAATAAAAATGTTCACAGATTGCAATATTCGAAACAAATGGTTATTGATACTGCATAATGAATAATGGTTCTAATAAACTGTCCAAACTCCTTTCTTTAACTCATCTCTTTAACACCAGCCTTTTACTTAATAAATATCTTTCTCTCACCCCTCTAACTCTTCTCCCACCCTTCTGACTTCTTACTGTCTTAACTCTTCTAATGCTTCTTGTTTTCAACAAATGGAAGGAATGCTTGGACATTCTCTGGCAGGCAGTAGGACAGTTTGGATTCCCATTTCCAAGGAGAGTGAGAGTACCCTGACCTTAGAGCTGGGAACTGAAGCTCCAGTCCCCCTTCCCCACCATCTGATAGCTGGTGCATCAGCTGTGCTCCAAGATTGGGAAGGTTTAAAGAACACTGGGCCGGGAGGGAGGGGGCAGCCAAGACACAGAGAATACCAAAACTTTTCCAGCCTCCTTCTTTCCTCCTCCAAATTGGCCTGCTATGTGATTTTTTTAAAAAAAGATTACCTAGCAAAGATGCAAAATGGGAAGGTGAAGATTGCATCTGCTGTTCCTCCCACTCTGTAGCAGATGCCTCCAAGCCTCCAAATTTGCCTATAAGCCTCCAGATTTCCACATACATGTAGGCATAGAAAAAAGTTGCAACTCCTAGTGTGCGCCAGCCAGCCATGCTAAATGTCTCTGTCAACACTGATTTCTAAGGCGTGAACCTATGTCTGTTTAGGCAGGAAAAATCCTACAACTTCCTGGCTGGCTGGGACGTGCTGGAAATTGGACTTTTTTTGTGTAAACTTTCCAAACTGCCTCTCACTTTACAAGTCATTTCAGCAGCTTTCCTATTACCATTCTTATTTGTTAATCAGACACAAAATGTGAGATTTTCAGGTAGAACTATTTGCATAGGAAGTTATATGGTTATTGTGTGTTTTCAAATAATTGTATCAATTGGACCTATATTACATAATTCATTTCTATTCATTAATTTCATTTCTACACTGGCCAGTAGCATAAGCTGTTTGGGAGGATGGAAAAAAAAAACAAACCTCAAAATGCAACCTAATAAAAAATATAATATAAAGCCTTTAACAAAGAAAAACTTACTCCCCTAACATTAGAAGCCCTACCATATATCTCTAGATGCCTGGGATTAGAGAAAAGTCTTAACCTGACAGCAAAAAGTAATGTGCAAGCAGGGTATCAATTAATCGAACTTGAAATAATCCATTTATATTTTGCATTCCGAACAGGATATGAACTACATGGCACAGAAAATCTGCCAGATGGACCAGGTTTAATTATTTATTACCATGGAGCAATACCAATAGACTACCTGTACTTTTTAACTAGACTTTTTGTTCTGAAACGCCGATTTTGTTACTCACTAGCTGATGACTTCCTGTTCAAGTTTCCAGGTGATCTATTTTGTTAATATAAAAGGGTCACATATATCAGCTAATACATGTGATAAAAAAATATGTTTTCATGCTTCTTGTTTCCCCAAAGTTTGCAACCTCAGGGAAGCCCTTTAAAGAATCCTTTTCCTAGTGAAGAAGGAACGACAGAGAATCAAGGAGTAGGTTGTAGCAACCAGTCACCAAATGTTTTTAATGAGTCTCTTAATATCACACAGCCTTTGTGGCCATTCAAAATGCATCATTACAGTGAAAAGCATGCAAAGAAACTTATTCCCATCTTTTGGGTCCTTTCCTGAGTTTGTTTGTTTATTTAAAATATTTATATGCCATCCTGTCGCAAAAAGCCTCAGGACGGTTTACAGCATAAAATATAACATAAATAAATTCCCAACCCACACTGGTTGCAGTTAAAAACATAGAAAAGACAGTATTAAAACTTATTACAATATCACTGGAATAAAAAGGCCTTAACCTGGTGCAGAGAAACAAATAATGATGGTGCCAGGCGGACTTCTCTGGGGAGCGTTCCATTGAGTTTATCATCAAGTGGAGCAAGTTGATGCATCCATCTATAATAGGTATTAGAATTAAAGTTTGGTCCACACTCATACCTCTAGATATGATGCTCATGCAATGAAGTGGAGATGGCACCCATTTCTCATTGGTAGCATCCATCTTTTGGGACCGTTTTCCACATGTGGTTCCGAAGGCAGAAATTGTGCCAAGTTTCAAATGCCTCTTCAAAGCACACATTCACAAAGGCTGTCCCTATCCTGTGAGGGATGTTATTACCCCTGCATTTTATTATTAATTTAACTTTAATAACCCTGTGTTTATGTCATGATACTGCATTTCTCATGTGACCCACAGGAAGCACAATCCAGTGTGACTGCTCCTAACCTTCAAAACTTGAGTGATGATTGGCATCCTGTTAAGGGTGGAAGGAATGTGGAGATGAAAATCATCAATAAAGATGACCCACTTACAGCTCTCTAAGTGTTTTGATGTGGTTGATGAAGAGGACAGGCTGAGGCACTGTCCTCTTCCCCTCCCTGCCCAACCTTGGAAATGCCTACCAAATGGAAGCTTCAAGGTCACTATTACAACCTTGGAGCCACAACCAGGGTGCTTCTTTCCATGCCAGCTGTGAGGGCAGATGGAGGGGCCTCCAATATGCATGTGTCAGCTTCAACTTCAGAGCAAGTTTCTAAGATCAGACCTGGAAATCCATATTTTTCTGCAGCCATCTAGACTTTATCTAATGGCCATAGCAGTGCACTCTTAAAGATGTTACTATATTAGCTAATATTAAAGCATTATAAATAATACTAAATTATCTGCCCATTTTCTGCTCATTTTCTAAACACTGGATCTCATTTAGTAGTTCCAAATGCTGGTACAGTTTCCAGTTGTACATGAATGGCAGTTTTGATACTTAGCCTTTAAAATTTAAGGTACAAGAGCTAATATATGTTCTCTAAGGCTACAATTTTAAACATATTTTCTTGTGACAAATCACAATGAACTCAGTAAGACTTATAGCTGAGTAGAAATACCTAGGATTGTGCTGCTTGTTTCACACCTCTGATGGATATGTGTAAAAATTAATAACTTTTACAGATTTCTGTTATTTTATGTAACATGTGATGGGATTCTTGTCTAAATCATTAGAAGATGAGTTACATATTATCTGCATTTTACATGAGAGCACCTGGATTTTTCATTTCTAATGATTCCCTTCCTTGACAAGCACTATACTAGGATTGTTGGGATTATTAATTGGGTGAAGTGTATGTTTAAGTGCATTTGATCCTTACTCAAATCAGAGTTCAGACTGTGCAGGACCATAATTCAAAATTGTATATATTGGAAAGGAGAGAGAGAAAGGGAGCACTGGGATTTCCATCTAATTCCTGCAATGCTTATATTTCTTGTATTTTACTTGTACTTGGGCCACTTTTCCAAATATACTACATACCCCAAAACTAGATTTTCTTACCCCAGAAATAATTTAAGCCCCAATAAATTCTACCCTTCTGAGCATGACTTTATATGGCCAAAGAGATAAAATACTCCCATTCCATGCTGTTACTAAGCATGAGTTCCAAAGTATCATTTTGCAACAGTCTCCAATTTCTGGAATAAGAGGACATATATATAAATCACAGTTAGAAATTAATCTGATCACAGACTCTTGAGAATAGATTCTGTGAATTTTTCTTCATTACATCTCTCTGGAATAGCCACAGCACACTGAGCAACAAAGAATTCTGAAAAAATGTATACTTGAATTTTATTTACTAAAAACAATGTACTAGAAGTATCTTAAATCTTTACTTAGCTGGCATCTTGGCTGCTGGTCATTTAAAAATATGTAAAGCGGGGAGCAAGAGTGAGATTTCCTATTGAAGGTTTCCATTATTCCTCTTTTATGATCCTAGGTAAATAAAAGATTCTTCCCTAATTCAGTCCACACACACTTTTCTATTTTCTTTCTCTTAAATTATAATAAAGTTTTATTTGCTTGCCTTAAGAAAAGAAAATGTAACATTATGGGCTCAATCTTATATAAGTATACTCATAACTAAAACCCATTGAGTTAAATATGACTTGACTTCCAGGTAAGTAGTTATAAGGATTACAATCTAAGTGCAAATGTAGAGTAGTTGTATGTTACTGCATTGCCATTGCATGTTACTTATTTCTTACCGATTTACTTTTTAAAAAATTTCTTATAGGTATTAGAGCATTAGCAGCTATGATGAACATTATCCGTAATACAAAAGAAGGGGGCTTAAATGTTCTAAAAAAGGGACATCTACTGGGAATTTCACCAGGAGGCGTTAGAGAAGCACTCTTTAGTGATGAATCCTACAAACTCGTTTGGCATAAACGTACGGGCTTTGCTCAATTGGCTGTGGATGCTAAAGTGGTGAGCATTCTGCATACGCAATATTACATCCAAATATAACTGAATTATTGCACAAAATATGAAACTCTATAGTTAGAGGACATCTTTTTATATTTAAAATATTTACTTAGTATCAGCCATTTGACAATTATCTTCATGCTTCTAGTCTTCAGTGTAAATGAGATCCCTATTTGCCAAAGACAGGTAAGTGGCAAAAGAAATGAAGCAAGGATTATTTTCTGTGTTTTTAGACCTGTTTCTTATAGTGACACAGTACAGTTTATCTGAAAGGATATTGATGAGATTGAAATTTGATGAGAGGTCCAGGAGAATAAACAGAATTGCATTCTTCTTGTCCTCTCAGCAAAGGTCATCCTACAGGGTGTCCAAAGCAGTTTCTGCTCCAAAAACAGACTTGAAACCCAATTGAAATTGAATCAAATAATCAGTCCCTTTCAAGAGGGTCTGGAGTTGACCATCAAATATTCACTCAAGCTTGCCTGGAAAGGGGAGGCTGGGAACTGGCCTATAGTTATAAACATCTTCTAGGTCCAGGCTGAAAGTTCTCCAAAAGTGCCCTAATTACTACCTACTTTATAGAACTTAGTCTCACCCACTTTCTTCAAAAGGAATTGACAACCTCCTGGGCCCCATAACTACATCTCAGTGCCAGCTTGTGTTTGTATAATGAAACATATAGGCAAAGAAAGTGGGTGGGGAAGCCTGGGTACTGGAGCCAGTCATACTCCTGCAAAGAATCTGGAAGCATGAGCTTCAGTAAAGAGGTATGTTAAAAGACTCATGTAGAGAAACCCTTTCACAGTTCATTTTATTGCAAAGCCAAATTAAATAATAAAAGTAGATCATGCAAAAATATCTAATGCCCTTTTTGTCCCTCAGTTTTGCACTCAAGTAAATTCCTGGACCACAACTCTCACAACTGCTTGCTCTCTCCCCTTCAGTTGTTAAACTCCCCAGAAACCAATGGATCCATTGCAGCTTGGGAATGAATTCTCCCAGCAAGACAGCTAACCCCAGAAACAAATAGAATATGAATTTTAATAAATACAGCTGTTGCCCATTTGGCCATAAGATGGCACAGCCCTTCACAGTTCTCTGCTGCCATTCCTGCTGCCAAAAGCTAAAACAGTAGCAATAGCTTTGCAGCCCTCCTGAAGCATGCCTGCTCACATTGTAAGTTTCCCTTTCTCTTGTCTGCTTCATTGGCTGGAAGGGAAATGTCATTCCATGCACTTGGTTTTAGCGCAGTGGAGAGGCGTTCTACAGGCGTATAAGCTTGATCTTTGTGCCTAGAATGAAAAGGAGGAATAGAAATCAAAGGGAAAGCACTGCTTTTTATGCAGAAGAGTAAAAGAAATCTCTGAAATGTTAAAGCCAAATACATGGAATCAGATATAACATCACAGGGTGGACAAAATGTAATAGTTAGGGCCAATAAATTAGAAATATTTTTACAAATGTCTTTTGAAAGTTTTGAATCATAAATGATCTTCAACAGCATAATTTGTCAGAGACATTCAAACTTCCTTAAGAGAGAGAGACAGCATATAAAGTTCATGGATACATAAAACAAGCTACACAAGCTTTGCAGGCATGACTGAGCATGAAATATCAATACTCAAAAGTTGTCAGATGTAGATGTGCCTTGACAAAGTTTTCCAGTTTTGTACCTAAAACCAGCTCTTTCACACCCTTTCTGAATGATATGATGCACATCCCTGCTAGTTTTCAGCCTAAACATTTATCCAAGTATTGTTCACACCACAACAATTATGATAATTATTCACTATAATGTTTTCTGGAAGACTGGAAGTTTGCAAGTTTCTTGCAGGTTGCAAGTTTCTTGCAGGTTGAAGGCATGGGATGTTCTCTACTAGCATTCCAGAGATGTGTTTTAAAATAGTACAGAGAGGTGGAGAGATACAGGGAACAACCGTTGAAACAGAAGAAGGCAGAAGGAAATGTAGCAACAGGAGACAAATAGATCATTATGAGGGTGACTGGTATAGCAAAAGGTTTGCTGACCTGAGGTTACCTCCCTACCTGAGCTAGTGCCACCTTATCAGAAGTAGCTCAGGAATTCAAGGCCTGCATGGTAACCATGGGTCTGTCCCTGTAGTAGCTGGCCCCATCGATATGGCAAGATATACTTAGGAAGGTTCCATTTGGATGCCAGGAAGCACTTCCTGACAGTCAGGACCCCGAGCGTGTGGAATGGGCTTCCACGAGAGGTCGTTGAGGCCCCATCGATGCGGGTGTTCAAGGATAGGCTGGATGTCCGCATGGTGGGCATGTTGTGAGTGGAGCCGGCTGGTGCCAGAGGTCAGACTAGATGGCCCGGAAGGACCCTTCTGACTCGCTCTGTTTCTATGTTTCTAAGTGGTTTCTGTATAGGGTGGAATAATGATGACCTGGACTTAAAAGAACTTTCTATTGGTTTGGTGTCATTAACAAACCACAACCTGATGTGGTTTAAACCTGTTGGTACTCAGAGCTTCTGTAGGTGTGGGGGACCAATTAAGATGGTATGTTCCAGATATTTGAACGACCCAGATGTTCTTCTGATGGCTATTAAGAATTTTCCTGTTACACAGAAGGCCCGCTGTGACGACTTCGCCAAGCATATCAGGGAGAAAATCGCTCAGATTCGTCACGAGCTTGACTCTACTATTGAATCAGATTCTACTGGGGAGGTGCCAATGATGCCGTTGAGTCCACAATTAATGGATGACTTTCAGTTGTTGAGGCCTGATGATGTGGACAAGGTGCTTGGAAAAGTACGTCCTACCACCTGCTTACTAGACCCTTGCCCATCTTGGCTACTCAAGAAAGCCAAGGACGGGAATGGGACCTGGATCCTGGAAGTGGTCAACGCCTCTTTAAGAGACGGCCGGGTACCAGCCCCTTTAAAGGAGGTGGTAGTCCGGCCATTCCTAAAGAAGGCCTCCCTGGATCCAGAGGTGGCCACCAATTATAGACCGGTGGCCAACATCCCGTTCTTGGGCAAGGTGCTAGAGCGGGTGGTGGCGGGACAGCTCCAAGCACTCTTGGATGAAACTGATTATCTGGACCCATTTCAGTCTGGCTTCAGACCCGAGTACAGTTCTGAATCTGCCTTGGTCGCCCTGTATGATGACCTGTGCAGGGAGAGAGACAGGGGGAGTGCGTCCCTGTTAGTTCTCCTGGACCTCTCAGCAGCTTTCGATACCATCGACCATGGTATCCTTCTGGATAGACTAGCAGGATTGGGAGTTGGAGGCACCGCGTTGCGGTGGTTCCGCTCCTATCTCAAAGGCTGATTCCAGAAGGTGGTGCTGGGGGACTATGGTTCAGTACCATGGCAGTTATCCCATGGAGTTCCGCAGGGTTCCATTTTGTCCCCCTTGATATTTAACATCTATATGAAACCACTGGGAGAGGTCATCAGGAGGTGTGGGCTTATGCTTATATGCTTATGCTGTGAGCCACCCCGAGGCTTTGTTGCGATGGAGGCGGCATAGACATGTTTTAAATAAATAAATACTTCAATAGGCAAACCTTGGTTGATCTCAGGAATGAGAAATGACCCAGGCTATTAACACAATGACTCCTGAATGTCTTCTCCCACAGACTGGGGCCAAATGAGCCCCCAGCTTTCCAGGGGACCGTAGGTAATGAAATGAGTGGGACAATGAGAATGTGTTTGGTTGAAGATGGACTAGACTTCACTATAAAGCCTATTCAGTGTTAATGTGGCTAGTGATAAAATTGTGCTTTTCTGTCACCACTGAATCTCCACAGCAGAGGTTTCTGCATGGACAGAAGCCTATTGCACTTTGTCTCACAAGAAGAAAATGCTTGATAGACCTTTGTCACCAATGTGTGGCATTTTGCAGTTAAAATCCGTCATATCTATTCCCACTTGAATGCTATAGTTGAGATAGTCTAGTGGCCCCTGCTTGTCCAGTTACAATTGAAACATTTCAATTTGTGCAGCCCAAGGATGAGGACATTAACTTGGAAAGGTGAGGGCTACCACTTGTGTGTGAGACACTGCTGTTCCTGGTTTTTAAAAGCAGTGTGGGTTGTGGGGTGGTGGGGATAGGCTGAGTGGATACGGGTAGTGGTCAGCCTCTTTACAGAAAATTGTGATTCCATCTTGCCTACAAGAGGGGATGATAAGCTCTTAAAAACAAAACAACCCCTCCATGGATCCTAATGTACTGCAGCCAGTATCTGGTGTGCAGCTGATACAGTTTTTAGAGAGGCCGTCACCTGCTGGATCTCAAATAGAGAACTATGGATATATTAATATGATTATTAATAAACGTATTTATTGTAACATGAAACTAATCTGCTCTTAGCATAATGGCTCCCAAAATTAAAATGATTAAATAAATACTACATTTATAGCAAATGAAAGAGGCAGAGGCTAGCCAATTAGGGTATGAGAAACCATATCATTACAGAAATATCAAGACAGGCAAAACCCTGGCTTGGGATTTGAGAGACCACTATTATTTGGCTTTCAGTAAAGCAGTCATCTCCACCTGTTCACATATTGTTTTTCAAAGTTGTGAGCCAAATGTGTTTGGAAAGCTGACAAACAGATCTCCACCCCTTTTAATTGTAATTAAGAAATATTTTCACAATCCCAGCTAAGTATATTGGCTCATAACAGGCTCCTTAGATGTAGGTTTGGGTTGGGAAAGAGAGTATGACATCTTCATGGGTGGATCCACAAAGCAGTTTGACAGTGTGCATTGAAAGTTGCAAAACCTGCTTTTGGAAGCACCAAGTAGGCTTGTGTGTGTGTGAGAGAGAAAGATGCTGTGTGGGGAACAGCACAGGAGTTTCAGGTAGGGATGGATGGAAAAATCTAGCAGTCTAGTTCTAAAGTTCATCCTTTTCACATGTGGTCACCTGTAAGTCCATTGCATCCTGTTTCTGTAATATTAAGCAAATACTTGTTTTAAAAACCCCATGTAAACCGTATTATGAGATAGTCAAAGTATTCCTGCACATGCCCCTGGTGAAAATAGACATGATGCCAAGATGTGACTTTCCACCCAAACACATTATACAGGGGGAAAACATGACCACTGCACTGTAGTGTAGCTTTGTGAGCCAATGCATCATGTCTATTATTGATAAAATTTGCTTGTACTTTCCTTTTGTGGTCTGGATGTTTGTTCTTGTTCATACAGCCCATATAACCCTGGTAAATCTTTATATAGTGTTTAGACCTCCGTCGGAGGCAATTTATGTAGGTATGCTTTGTGAAATTTAACAATGCAATATTAAATTTTCACTTTCTGTCTCCTTCCTTAGCCCATCATTCCTATGTATACGCAAAATGTACGGGAAGGATTTAGAGTTTTTGGACGAACAAGTAAGTCATATTTCCATGGTATATCTATATACATTTATATCTATATTTAAATTTTAATTTGAAAAATGAATTTAAAATGTAGCTTGATTTTTAAAAAAATATCCAGTCTGCTGCAGTTCTATGCTTTCCATAGCATCCAATTCCCTGTGCAAAGTCATCCAGTCCATTGAACAGAGAGTGTCAGCTTTGTGTGAGTATCAGTGTGTAGGAAGTTCCCAGGCATACAAGCCAGATCTGGACAATTCTTTTAGTTCTGGAATTACGAAAAAACAAAACAAAAACCCAGTTCTACTCAGTTGCTGGGAAATGGTGGTATGGGAGCAGTCATCATATCTGGAATAGGACTTCTCCTTGACTAAGCCACCAAGATGGCAGACAAAAACTACTAGGTTTTCTATGCAGGTCCAGTATCATAGATGGGCGTGATTGAGAACCTGCCAAAGGTTTATACTCCAGCAGGGTTCCACTGACAAAAGCATCACAGAGCTGCTTTTCCTCTTCACCAAAGCAACCTCCTTGTTTACCTGCCTCTGTTTCTGGCTAAGATAGTGGTGCTGGGGGTGGTGAGAAGGAGTCATATCAGATAGCACTGCCTGCTTTCTTGTTGCTTCCAATTTCTGCCTGGCTGGACAGAAGCCATCAAGAAGAGGAGGGTTAATATCAGCTAGGAATGATGATTGCGAGAAGGTAGTCATTGAAGGGAACCATTGAAAATATGTTTACCAAGTACCTTCAGAAACTGGAGCTAGCACTGTTTCCAAAGCAGCTCTTCCTGGTAAAAGAGCAGAGGAAAATATTGGTCGGTAATTTTTACTCTCATCCTCTTTTGCTTTAATTCCAAGGGGGTGATGTCCAAAAGAAAGATTCTTCACAGGATGCAAGAAGTAGAATGTATTGCATGGCATCATCTCTTCCCTTGCGACTGAGCAAGGTGCTTTCTTGAGGCCCAAACAAAGTGTTGAAAAGGCTTTATTACCCATCACCCAACTATAGCAGAAACAAGCCAACTTCAGCACGATGTAACCATAGGTTCTCGTTGACCTCCATTGTCCTTGTCAGGGAAGGAACATTTGAGTAAGTAGGTGGCTGGCCAGTGTCAAAATTCATCTGACAGCAACTAGTGGCCATGGATACCTGAACAGCAGTGAAAAGGTTGTAGGCAATTCCCTGAAAGGGTTACAAGTGGCCTCTCCTGTTTTCTGACTTTTAAATTTCAGAATTAGTACAAGAACTGTGACCAAAATGTGATTGACTACTTCCCCCCCTCAGTACCTGAAAGAGATAGATTCAAGTGCTTTCAGTCTCCTCCTGAGTAAGCAATTCTTCTTGTAACATACAAAACTGGAAAAGCTAAATACCAGTATTAAGGCATAGACACTGAAGCACAAATATATTTTCCTTCTTGCTTGCCCACCTTCTTCATTCTTGGACACGAGTGGTAAAAAGAACCCAGACACATTTTAGGAACTAACTTGAGAGAAGTGACTTAATGAATTGATATTTCTGGATTGGGAAGCTTCCCTCTAAAAGATATTTATCCTCTTCAGTATTGCCACCACCTATGGAGAAACTATTTCTCCTCTAGGCATTTCCACCAGTGCAGTTTCTTATTTCCAGTACATGCTTATAGTTCAGGATCTAAAGAACTCATCTAACCTCGAATTCCCCAAAATGATTTTTTTGCTACTATTTCTTTTAGAATACCTAAAAAGGTTCTAGTAGCCTGGTATAAGAGGCTTAGGCAGGAGGTGGCCAGTAACACTAGAGACTAGATGAACTATTAAATGAGTTAATATATTATTAAGTTTATACTTCATACATAACAAAATACCAATATGTATTCAGGGTTTAAAAAAGATCACTTGCTGACAGTTCTTAAGGATTTAAGAGACACTGATCTGGCTTGCACTATCATGTGATGCACTGCAGATTTTTAAATAAATGCTAGGTTGCTTATGCAAGCTTGGGCCATAGTTTGGCATATCATCTGAACCAGGATGGCATGGCTTGCTGGTTGGGAAAACAACCCTCCAACCCAATTTACATCCTGTTGTATGGTTATTGTAAGATTGTTTCCTCCTCCATCAGGCCATGATGTCCAAAGTCAGATGACAGCAAACCATGGCAATGTCCGGCTGCCAGAGCTGGAATGTTCAAGAAGGCTGCTGGCATGGTGAGCTGCAGTTGTGATACACTGCACTGATCATGCAGTGCACTGTTGCTACTATGCACCTTGGAGGTAACAATCCAAAGGCCCCTAGTATCACCTTAGGGGAGGGTACAGGATATTTTAGATTCCCAGATCAACAGAGCTCCATAACAGGGTACCTGCAGCCTGAATCCCCTCTCAGTTGGTACAGAAAAAGCTACTCCAGCTGCATTTCCAAGGTCTGGTACACAGTGTCAGAGATGGGCTAAAGGGATTGTTTTAGGGTACCGAGAGAGGAAGAGACTATAGACCACAGGTTATGGTGTATCCTGTGTCCTTTGAAACCTCTTCCTTCATAATCCAGGCCTTAGCTATTCTATTTCTTCTCAGTTTTTTCTTAGTCCTTCTACAAGCCAGGAGACCTTCTCACTTATTACTCACTCACTCTGTCGTCCTGAACTCCTGTTAGCTCCTTAAATGTCATTCCTTAACTTTTATCCTTATCTTTTTCTACCTGGCTGGAATTTTCAAGCAATCAAAACTGAACTTACCTGATCAGGGTCCCATCTATAGATATTCAAAGAGATACTTTCTTTTTCAGAGCATCACTAAGCAATTGTTACACAGATATTCAACAGTAACAAAACAAGGTCTCAGGCCTATCCAGCTACAATATAGTTTCTTAGAGGCCACAAAAAGTAAACATATGGAAAATCCACATCCCCCTCGCCCCCAGTCTTTGGGGGTAATTTGCAATAAATTCCAAATAACAAAATTTATGTATGTATGGGCATGCAACTGTTAAAGCCATCCTAAACCAAACATAGAAATATGTTCTGCTGAAAATATTATTTCAGAACATGACCACAGTTCAGCAAAATGCTTCGAATTTACACTGTGCTGCAGATGTATTAACAGAGTTGTTGTTTTAATTTCCTTCTCTGAATTGAAAGCTGTGGAACTGCATAGACTAGGGCCAGCCTTCCTTTCCCCATGCAGTGATCATTCTGTATCCAGGTATTCCACTGACTTCAAGTTCACAAAACTTTTCCCATTAACTTTAACAGAAAGCTTGTTTGTTTGTTGGCACAAAAGGATATGCATGTGAATTTCCTGCTACTACTGAAATGAATTCTGGGTATGGTACATTAATCAATGTATTACAGCTGTAAACATGGGTGATCCTCCCAGGGAGCTTCAGCTATGGGGTGGTAAATATAGCCTGACTTCAGTTAAGAAAAATTTTCAGTTCCAAGAACTGAGAATGAATTTTTAAATATTTTAAACGTACTTGTAAACTATAGAATGAAAATTTATATTTTGGATGTAATTCAGTTTCTTTCTCCCCCTTTTAACAAAATAGTACTAAGTAGGTGGCTATATGAATATGTTAGATGGCCTGTCCTTCCTCCATATGGTGGATTTCCTGTCAAATTTCGTACCTACATTGGAGAGCCTATTCCATATGATCCAAATGTAACTGCTGTGGAATTAGCCATAAAGGTATTATGTTCTCTTTATGTATGTTTTATTTATGTATGTTCTTTTATCATCAGTACTTTTACTTTATAGGTCACATTTCCATACAATGCATTCAAAGCTGCTCACAACACTACAGCAATACAAAAGCAAGAATGCATATCAATACATCAGCTGCACCAACACATCATTACAATAACAACCCAACTATTTGTTTTTGGTGCCAGGAGAAGACCTTATTTTCCTAAACATTTTATTCATTATTTCTGCTGTTTTAACTGTTACTTTGTTTTAAATATTTTCACAGCTGATAGGTTTTGTTTTGTTTTTATATTTTATAGTTTTCATTTTTTTTAACTTTGATATTATTATGTTATGGCAACTAGATTCTGAGAAGTGAGAACTTTTAGGAGTTCCAAAATGTAAGCAATCAAGTTAAATATTCCCTAAGAATTGAAGATAGAAATGCTTCTGATTACTTGGACTTCAGTTTCCTAAGCAGCAGTACATGCAATGTTTGTTTCATTACAAGTTTATTTACACTGAGGTCAAGATGAGGAGCTACAATATCACTAATTCAACAGATTTCTGCTTCCTCTCAGCTGTCTAGGAATTTACTGCAGGGATCCAAAGTCATATATCTTCTCCATTTCTGTGCCACAGGGCTCACTCAATTCCTTCCCTACGCCTTGTAAAACAAAACCTTCCAGTTCAAGAATTATTTGATTGGGAGAGACTCTTCAGTCTCTTTGTAATCAGTGGCACTGAGTTGTAAGGCATCCCAGGAAGGTAACACAAACTGAAGTCAGCACTCAACTCATAACACTATTCTCCCTTCTGAAGAGTTGTGGACTTCAGAGCATTAACAACAAACAAGCAGGCAGACCAAAATAACTGTGGTTGCTGCAAGACAAAAATTAAGCAAAATGTGGAAGAACATTTTAGCAAAAATCTAAGCAGTATACTTCCACAAAAATAGGTTTAAAAATCCTAGTAATACTACCCAAGTGTAGCACAATGAGAGCATTCAGTTTGGAAACAAACTCAGAAATCTAGGGAGGTTTTGGGGCAGGGGGGAGGAGGGCATTTTCCCGTTTCTTTGAGGCATTGTAAAGCACTGGGCAATTGTTTCATCTCTGTTTTTAGTAGTCACTGTTGTGGAGCCACCTGGTTAGGTGAAGCAAGTAGCTCCATTCCTAGGCTCCCACAGTCCCACTGACAGATAGTAGAGTCAGCCATATACTTTCTCCCCTTGATACATATTTAGTGGTCCTTACAAATAATTTTAGGCTTGTTTCTGGATCTGGTGTAGCACATTTGTTTTCTTGAGCACCAGCAAATGGGCACATAAATTTCCTGGATTAACACCCCCCACCAAAAAAGCGGTGTCGTATGTACACTGAAACACATACAGGTGATAGATCAGAGCACATGCACTTTTCATATGAATAGCAGTAATATGATGGGCTCATACAGGAATGAAAAGCCCCAGAAAAATGGCTTTTGCCATTTTGGCAAATGGCCTGTTCAGTTATTTTTTCCTCAATGTACACTACTTTCAATACCCATAGAAGCATAATAGTGAAATGCTCTATTTTAATCCTCATTTTTTCTTCATTTTCAGACCAAGGCTGCACTCCGGTCATTAATTCAAAAGCACCAGCAAATTCCTGGAAACATCTGTGATGCTTTAAAGGAAAGATTTCACAAGGAAAAGAAAGGCTAAAATGGGCCAGCACTATCATCAGGCAGTGTGAGATAACTTCCTAAAGGCAACTGATGTGGAGTATGATGAAGGACAGCAAACTGTTTATATTGCCGGGGAATGGGAGAGGAGCTTGTGGGATTATATTTTGCTTATTTGGCAAAATAACTTGACTGGCCTCAGATACTATAAACCTTGACTGGATGTGTGGGAGGTGTCTTTTGCTGCTCAGCTTCAGGCTGCAAACTTTCTTTTTTCTAAAGAAGAATTAATTGACTATAGGGGCACATTCCTTAGTTGTATCAAAGTTAGTCGACTGCTTTCTGTGCTACATGGAGCAGTCCATGAAAATTGACATGAATGATAGTTGACATGAATCTTGCAGTCATGCTTTTCACTGGCACTATTTATCAGGACTGGCCCCTGAAGCAACAGCTTCACTAGTGTTCTGTTAGTTTCCAGGCCCAGTTCAAAGTGCTGCTTATTATCTTTCAACTTTAGGAACAAGATAGCTAAAGAAATATTTTTTCCCATCTAAGCCTGCCTACTAATTAAGGTTTACTGGAAAGGCTTTTCTTTACATCCAGCAAACATCAGAATTCTGCTTAGGCTGGGATATAGGAAGACTGTAAAACTCCCTACAGAGGAGAGGTGAACAATGCACAGCTGGTAGGCCTGTTCCATTGTGGCCCCTGCTTCTCCCTTTTTCTTATTGTTCAGTAGTCTGACAAATCTAGAGGCAACCAGGTTTGAAGACAAGCTTAGATTATCATTTTCCTAGACTGACTGTATAAAACTTCCAAGGTCAGTGTTATACAGCAATTACACTGTAGCCCTGAGATTCAGGACTAGATGAGCTGGAAGCTATCTATTAGAAATTGCATGAAATTTTGCTTTGGCTTAGTTTCTCTTATTTGTCCTCACTGTTCATTCCTAATTTTTAATGTAACAACAAATGTTATACACAAATGCATATACTATGTACGTCCTGTCTACCTCATAAGTTTCCATGGCAAAGGGAATTATATATAGCAAGCACAAACAGGATGATTGTACAGTGATAGATTCCTAAAATGCTCTAGAGAGCAAACTCCTTGAGGTTATTATAGCACAAATTATTGTTGTTAGGTCACTGGGCAAACTTGGTTCTTAAGTGATAGTTTAACTACATGGAGATATGCTTAAATTATTTATATTATTACATTTCTACCCTGCCCAATAACTAAAGCACTCTGGGTTGGTCCAGAAGCTGTGGCTAGTGCAAGAGACAACAGCTCAGCTCTTGTTGGGAGATGTAGCTCTTCTGGTGAGGGAACCACACAGCTGCAGATTTGTTCCTGGGTCAGGTTTCAGATTTTGTAATTGATTAATAAAGCACTGGAGAGCACACTGAGAGCAAGAGTGGTGTAGTGGTTAGAGCACTGGACTGGGACTCAGGAGACTTCTGTTATAGTCCCCACTCTGCCAGAGCTCACTGGGTGACTTTGGTCTAGTCACTGCCTCTCATCCTAACCTACCTAATGTAATATACATTATATTACTAATATAAGCCTAATGTAAGAACTAGTGCAGCCTCTGGGTGCAGAACAGTATGCATAGGTTTTGGCAGATAGTTGTCATTGTAAGAATAAAATGGAGAGAGGGCTAACCTTCTCTTTGACTTCCTTGAAAGAGGAAGAAAGGCAGAATATAATCCAATAATTTTTGAAAGGGAGTTTCTCCTTTATTATCTCCAGATATAGAAATAATTCTATAACAAAACAGTAACACAAACATTAACTGGAATGGTGGAAAACTGCTACAATGGGTTCTACATGCAGCTTTGATCCCAGAAGGCCAGCTATTGACAAATTGGAGCAGAAGGGCAAGTTTGTGTGACGGATTTATGTTATGGGACTGGGAGGAGGGTCAATTTTCCTTCTGATAGGCCACTTCTTTTCAAGGGCTTCCCCAAAAACAATTTCTGATACGTGGTTGTTAGTCAGGACAGACCCTAGCCTTTCCAGCTGCTTTGAGTCTTTGAGCCCATTTACAAAGGACCCTATATGCAGTTCAGACCTAGGAAAAAAGAAGGTTCTTTCTTTCTGAGAGGTCCAAATCATAGACCTTAACAAACCTTTAAAAAAATCACTAGTGGTAACTTGGCTACCATACCTCTTTCACATGATGACGAGTTTAGTAGGAGAAGCACATCTAAATAAAAAAAGAGGTTACTTTGGGAAAAAAGAAAGGGGAAGGCAACAGTTATGTTGTTAGTCATGAAGTCGTATCCGACCCATCATGACCCCATGGACAACATTCCGCCAGGCCTTCCTGTCCTCCACCATCCCCCGGAGTCCACTTAAGCTCACACCAACTGCTTCAATGACTCCATCTAGCCACCTCATTCCTCCAGTCTTCTTTTGCCATCAATTGTTCCCAGCATTAGGCTCTTCTCCAGTGAGTCCTTCCTTCTCATTAGGTGGACAAAGTATTTGAATTTCAACTTCAGTATTTGGCCTTCTAAAGAGCAGTCAGGGTTGAGCTCCTCCAAGACTGACTGGTTTGATCTCCTTGCAGTCCAAGGGATTCGCAGGAGTCTCCTCCAGCACCACAATTCAAAGGCCTCAATCCTTCGGCACTCAGCCTTCCTTATGGTCCAGCTTTCACAGTCATACATTGCAACTGGGAAAACCATAGCCTTGACTATATGAACTTTTGTCGGCAGGGTGATGTCTCTGCTTTTTGGTATGCTGTCTAGATTTGCCATAACTTTCCTCACAAGGAGCAAACGTCTTTTAATTTCTTGGCTGCAGTCCCCATCTGCAGTGATCTTAGAGCCCACACATGCAATTCCAAAATAATGTCAATTTAATCTAGTAGCATGTTATTGACTTAGATACTCCACAGCATATGCAAATTATACTGCAGAGCAGGCTGTCTGAGACAGCATTAGCTAGATAATGTATGGAATAATCTAGAAGGGCTGCATTAGGCCTTTTATGGAAATGCCAGCCCCTGTGCAGAGATGGTTATTTTCTCCGGTAATGTGACTACAGTCTTCATCTCTGATGTTGGTGATATACCCAGTAAATCAAAATTACTTATCTTTTGATGCTACAAATTTACATCCTGAAAGCCCAGATGATTTGATATAGTCAATCTATTAAAAATTTAAAGGATCAAATTTCTGGTGGCTTTTTTGAGGCCAAAAAAAGTGAGAAAAGGCTGTTCACGTTGACCAGAAGGAGCCAACCAAACTGGACCTCTAGAGGGCACTGTGGAGCTATGTCACTAGGGAAGAAATAAAGTATTTCCATGTAAGAACTAGTGAAACCTCTGGGTGCAGAACAGTATACATAGGTTTTGGCAGATGCAATGAACAAAATACATGTGCTTACTGCACCTAATAATGTATACATGATCTATATATATTATGATATGATAACGTATACATGATATATACATTATTTCCTGCACAGGAGTGCTTTATAAGGTAAAATGTCACAGGTGTATTACTAAAATAAATGGTATTGTATTCCTAGGTTGGATCACAAATTAATCATGTTTTAATAAAATAAATAAATAAATAATCATTCTGTAAGTAAATGTATTAGTGTGTTTTAAGATCTTCACACTGCTGCTAGCTTTTACTTTGGCTGCTACTTTGGTTTCATTCTTTTAAATTTATGTTTCTATGTTTTACTATGTTACGGTATTCAATGGCTTTAGGCTTTGCCTTGTAAATGGCTCAGAGAGCTAATGGGAGGTACAGAAAAGAAATAAACTAACTGAATTAAATGGAATGAGTTTTTCACATGAATTTGCAACTAAGGGCACAATCCAAGTTGCTGCTCATAACACTATGAACTCGGAGGATTATGGGCATCAGGTGCAGAGTGAGAAGAGCGCAACAGCAAAGTTTGTCTCTGCTCTACTCACTTGGAAAATAGCTATACAGTCAATTTCATCAGTCTAAATTTGGTATGTTATGGGGAGGTGGGGAGATAAAGAGACTGAGGCGCTGCCATGTTATACACTAGAAGTGCTGGCCTCCTCCATTTTCCCAAGGTCTTCAGACCTCAGAGGCAGCCAGAATGTTTCTATCTACACTAGCTCTGTGTGTGTGTATATGTGTGTATGGGGGGGGGGGGGGGGGGGGGGGGCAGGGCACAGATGCAAGTATGGATTCCTGATCTGTGGTCAAAGCTCTTTTCTGGCCTTGGATCTGGGGCTCTGAAAATCCAGTAACCCTGTAGATGTTCACTAGAGAGCATAGGATTGCTCTCTATGCCAGAGGTTCCAAACTTTTTCAATCATGCAGCCTTTCTGAAGACCATTTTTTCCCCATGGAACCCCAACTGTATCCTCAATTTTTAGTAAGCATTGTGAACCCACAACCTTTTTCCTTCTTTCATCTGCTCCTATTGCCTGAGTACTTTGCATAACATAGTAGGTTTGGAAATAAAGAGAAAACATTTTAAATATTTATTTTTATTTATTTAAAACTTTTATATGCCGTCACCACATGCCTCGGCATCTTGGGACGGCTTACAACATAGAATTAAAACAATAAAACAGTAACAAGTACAGTAAAATTATATAAAAACAAAAACAAAAAAATATAATGAATGAATAAAGCAATTATATGGAAATATGCCAAATGAATTCTTTTGATTATTCCCAACACTATGCAATAGTCCTAGGAAACAAAGGGTGTGATGCATCTCCTTGTTTGCTGCCTGGATGCCAACTGACAATCAAATAGTTGGCCTAGTGTGATTTTATTTTTAAATCCGTTTTAAAATTCTTTTTCGAGATTTTTTTTGCAGAATCTCTAGGGGGCTTTTGCAGAACCCTAGAGTTCAGTGGAAAACAGTTTGGGAACCACTGCTATAAGAGGTTTAACTATAAAATCCTTAGCTGAACGCTTAACTTGCTGTTGGCCTTAGGAAAACCAGTACATTTTGGCTCCAGAACGCAGACTTATCCCCACGATATTGACCTTTTTTCAGTATGGAAGGAATATGTTGTATGTCAAGCATGAAAACTCATAAAATGCTAAAATATTTCCTTGAAATCAGTTTGCCAATATCCACACCCAACTATGTCCAGGCACTATAAAGGTATAGTCCAAAATTGGCTGCATCAGCAAATAAATACTCAAAATACTCTAGAATTCTTAATAAAACACCCAAGTGATGCTAAAAATAATAGGATCTATGTATACTTGATTTATTGGTGTCTAATTCACTCTGAAAAGAAAACATAAAAACTGCAGCAAAACAGAATAAAAAATAATTTAAAATAAGGATAGCATCCTCCACTAGCCAGGTTTCTTGTATGGATGTCTTGTTTTTGCGATAGTAAAAGACAGCCTCATGTATTAAGTACATTTTCTTGTAGTAGCCCCATTAACAAAACTTATTTCCAAGTAAAAGTGGATCACTTCTGGTTGCAGCAGGGATAACTCAAATACTTCCCAATTGTCTTTTGACCCAATGTCACAGGCACTTGTAAACTGCACAGTCTTTGGCTAGATGGGCTAGAAGGAAGGAAGGAAGTTTGGAGGTCCTAGTTTGAGCAGGGGCTGCTCCTACCTCGGACTATGTTAAGTCTACCAATTCAGTAGTTTGGATTCTCATCTCATTCTATATGGAAATGGTATATACATAATTCACCAAAGACATTTCAGTCTTTAAGAGATTAACAAAATGGATTATTGCTAAATTTATGAAATAGCTACAGAAATAAAAGAACACTAAAATAAAAACAATGATGTCGGTGATGCAAAAGCACAGGGGCATAAACATGCATAACATAAACCTAGAAACTTTTTCCATATTCTTCCATATGCTCAAGATTTCTTCAGTATCTTAACCTCAAATTAAAATCTTTTAAGGTGAGTTCTTTTAAGACAGGAGAAAAGTGCCACAACTCCAAGCATTCATTCACTTTCTGTGGCATGCCAGGAATTATTGGATTTCTTTCTTGTTGAAAACTGCCTCTTGGATGCACATGTTAAGATGATGAAGGGGTTTAAGCATATCAAACAAGCGAACAGTAATGCTGCCAGGAAGCCAGACTCCCTCAGTAGCCTGAAAGACTAAGATGCATCCATCCTCTTCAGGAGTTATAGTCACATTAGCAGAAGAGAAATGGGAGTGGAGAAGCACAGCTACTGGACTGCAGTAGTATGAAAGGTGACACTGGCCAACAATCTTTTGCAGACAACAGCAGTGATGCTCAGTCCAACTCTGTGAAAAAAGGCAATGGTAACCACTTCTGAATAGTTTTACCTTGAAAGCTCTATGATGAAATAAACCAAAAGCAACAAAGGATAGTGCCAGAAGATGCTAGGTCAGAATGCTTTCAAGGAGTTACTGAGGAACAGGAAAAGATAAGTATGGATAGTACACAACTAGATCAAAGCCAAAGGGAAGTGGAAGTCTAGTGGCTGACACACACAGAGGCAAAAGAAACGTCTGGTACAGTTCAACACATAGAAATGGAACATGCAACATGAGGAACAGTAAACTGGAAATTGTAAGGTCAGAAAAAGAACAGAGAAATTTCACGGTACTTGGTATGAGGAAACTAAAATGGGCTGGAATGGGACATTTTCAGTCAGACAAAAACCAAGTGCTTTACTCAGGAGATGACAAACTCGGATGAACCACAGTAGCTCTAATTCTGAGGCAAGAGATGGCAGAGGCAGTAAGGGGCTGTAATACTAAGTTCCATATCAGTTAGAATTCTTAGAAAATTTAGCAACATAACCATCATTCAAGTCTATCATCCAGCAAGAGATACTGAAGAAGAATTTGAAAATATTATTCAGGTGTTCAAGAGGAAATCAATTATCAACATATACTAGTAATCATAGTGATTGCAAGACAATTAATAAATAAAACAGAATCAAATGTTGTGAGAGAATTTGACCTGGAGGGTCAGCAGTGAAGCTCCCAGCAATGACCTGGGAGAGACACTCACAGAATTCTGTGAAGCCTACAGTCTATTTATTGCAAATGCATACTTCAGCCAACTGGTCAGACCAGACATGTGGACAGACAGCCAACAAAGAAATCAATTAGCCTATGTAAATGGAAGTTATAGACAGAGAACATGTATTCTTACTTCCAGAACAAAACTAGGAGCAGATTGTGGTAGCAAGCATGAGCTACTAATATTAAAAAATCACAGTAAAGCTAAAAAGATCACTAACAGAAGCATAGTGCCAAAATACAATTTAAACAAAATTCCTGAGAAATTTTAAGTTTGCATTAATAGCAAATGTGCATCACTGAAATCAATTCAAATCAATTTACACATCATTTTAATTGTTAGCTTATTTACTGATTTCATATCTTTGGCCAGGACGTTTCCAATTATATTGTTTTTATATGCTTAATTGTTGCAAGCCGCCCTGAGGCTTCGGTGAATGGGGTGGCATAGAAGTTTACTAAACAAACAAACAAACTGTCAAACAGAAAAGCTATGGATTGAAACCAGTGACATTTTTGGGAAAGAATGAAAAAAGGTGACAGAAACAGGGTCAGAACCTGAATGAAACTTTTCAGAGACTATCACATAGAAATAAAAGGAACTATTACAATATCCAGTGCAAAGAAATGGAAGAAAACAACTAAAAAGGGATGGGTGGGAAACAGATGTCTTATGGAAGATCCAAGAATGCACATAATTCGTACATGGGTTAGGAAAGCTGAAACAGGGGAACATACTAGATAACCAGGATAAAATAAAAAGAAGGTGGAAAGAACATACAGAACAGTATACGATACAGAAAGATCCAAGGATGACAGGCTCCTTTGAAGAGGAGCCCAGTGATGAAGAATCTACAATATTATAAAGTGAATGCTGCCCTGAAAACACTCAGACAGAATAAAGCACCAAGAGAAAAATGAACTATTCCAAGCTGCAGAGAGTGAATCGGGCCACATCCTAACAAGAATATAAAAAACAAAATAATAATCCACAGGGAAGAAATGTTCAATTGCACATTGCAATCCTGTTTTTTGGAAGCAAAAACAATAAAACTGAAGCTGTTGGACTTCCGACGCAGCCACAGCCTTGAAGTTACAGGAACTCAGTTATCCTAGAAGACATTTATTCAAAGACATTTATTGCAGTTTATTAAACAGGAGAAGACTTGGCGAACAGGAAACTTACCTACGATTGCTTTTCAGGGCATGCTAAAGAGAGAAAGTTTCAGCAATTCGCAATGGGCATGTGCAACCGCATTGCTTTGATAGTCGGCTTTCTTATTTCTAATCTCTGAATTCCAGCAAGAGAGAGAGAGAGAGAGAGAGAGAGAAAGAGAGAGAGAGGACAAGCTGCTTGATTTTCCTCTTTTCGTACCTCTTCACCTGAAGCGAGAATCCCTGAACAGCCCCGTTCAAAACATTTCTGTAGAACTATTAGAATACTTAGGGAAAGCCTCTGAGGGCGACGGAAAGACCGCGACAGAGCCCACGAGGAGGACCGAGCGAGCTTAGTACCTCCTTTTAAGATCAAACCTAATAAGGAGTTCTGGGAAACTGGAAAGGTGCGCAGTATTTCCTGCCCTTTGAATTGACCTACCGAATGATGTTATCCTAGGATAGATTCTGCAATTTCTTTTAAGGTCCCCGCCTGTAAAAGTTTGGAAGGCATGAAGGATTTTGCTGTAGGTGTAAATAGATGATAGGAGGCACTCGCTTCCTTCAAACCATTGCTACCACGAAGAGTACTGTTTAGGTTAAAATATTTACAAGGCAGTGCCTGCTTACTTTTCAGTACAGTGTACGACTTCCGCGTATAGTTAAGCTAGGCTGGGTGAGGTCTAAGCAAGTAAAATTTATTGAATACACTTTGCTATAAATTAGAGGTGTTTTGGTTAGAATCCCAAGTTTATCCTCAGTTCCACCGCTAGCATGCAATGTTAATAATGGATAGACGCAGGGTGGGCATATTACACTTAGTGCGCAATTCTAGACAGGTTTAGACAGAAAAAGAAACCTTCAGCTGCCAGAATGTTGCAGCTAGTCAATTATATTACAAGAACATCATAAGAACACTGGATTAATTTATAGGGCTGTCGCAAACTGGCCCCACAATCTCACTGTAGGTGACTTACAATATTAATAGTGGATTGCATTTCATAACTGTTATACCAACACTTCCCCCTCCCTTCCCTAATCTACAACACGGTGATAGACTATGTAAGTTGCAGCGGCAGAACTTTAATCTTTTAAAAATACAATACTCACTATTATTAATAACAGAACGAAGAAGAGGTTAAAAAAAAAACAGAGCCCTGACTTAGAGACCCGCATGTACGCAGTAGTATAAAGCATCACCAGAGCTAATAAATCGATGGGTTTAGGTGCTATATTAAAAAAAAAGGCCTTACAGCGGACCCGGAAATGTTCTACTTACAGTAGTTCATTCTATCTTTATCCCTATGGTACATTGGCATACAAAGCCGGAAGCAGCGCCCTTCAGAGTTTTGTGGGGAATCGGTCCTACAACGAAATGGGTCCGGGTGGAGCTGCAGTTTTAAGATTTAGAGATTACCTTTCCCTCTTTGTGTCCTTTCTTGCAGCAAGGTGATACCAACTGTTGCTATAACATTCCTGGAAGCACCTGTTCTTAACACCGCCCTTCTGAGGGCAGTAGGAGTAGAAGAAAAGCACCGGAGCGCTGGTCGACGGAAGTGTCATCGCAGCGGCTGACTGGTGACAAGCTTCTTCGGGACAGGCGAGGTGAGTCGGTCTTTTTATCTCTTCTTCGCGCTTCTCTCCCCGCGCCCCACCTGAGTGACAGTTTGTCTAACTTGGAAGGCAGAAAATTAATTCTGACTCAGGGCGCAATTCTGTGCATGCTTAGACAGAGCAGTTTAGAGTTGTAGGATTTATGTTTTGTCTCCACATGCATAGGGTTATGATCCTATGAGTAGTTTCTCAGATCTTTAATCCACAACCTTATGTTGCACTACCTAGGCAGCCCTTTTTATGACCTCGCTGAGCATGGGACTTTCCCCTCTTATTTTGTTCTGGAGCTTTTTCCTCCACAGCTCTAACTTCAACTTATTAATTGGGGAAGCAGGTCCTGGAAACCACCAGACTCTGATTCATGGTCTGATAATGATAAATGTGTTTCCCGTGCTTATACTTCAGTACTTTTCAGGCACATTATATTTGTTGTCGGTACAATGACCCTAAAATATAGAACGCTATCCTTGCTTTACTCATATTGCAGATAAGGTGCTGAATGTGTTTCTGGTTGCTATAAGACCCCTAGGGAATTTATTGAAGAGGCAAGATTTGAAATGGAGACATTCAGATTTATGGTATAGTTTTATACTTTATATTTAGTTTTACTATAGCTTTATTTTTCTCAAGTGACTCTGTGGGCTGTTGTTTGTGCACTAGGCAGTTGTGCATAAACTTGCATACTCTGGGAGTGTTTCTAGACCCAGAATTATCTCTGGAATCCCAGGTGACTGCTGTGGTGAGGAGTACTTTCTATCAGCTTTGACTGGTCTATCAACTAAGTCCTTATTTAGATGAGCAGAGCCCAGCAACAGTATCCCACACTGTGGTAATCTCCGGATTAGAGTATTGTAACACGCTTTACATCGGGCTACCCTTGAAGATAGTCTGAATTCTTCAGTTGGTACAGAATAGAGCTGCAAGATTGCTTACTAAGACTGGCAGAAATGACCATGTAACATAAGTCCTATATCATCTTCATTGGCTACCAATTGAAATCCAGACACAATTCAAGGTGTTAACTTCAACATATAAAGCCCTAAATGGTTTAGGGGCTGGATATTTGAAGGCACATCTCATTCCATAGACACCTGTCCAACTCTGAGATCTTCAACTTGAGGTCCTCCTTCGGGAGCTCTCTCTGAAAGTGATTAGAAAAGTGGCCACCCAGGGAAGGGCCTTTTCTGTGGTGACACCCCAGCTATTGAACTTGCTCTTCAAAGAGGTGCACCTTGTGCCAACGCTTTATTCATTTCAGTTTCAGGCCAAAGCCTTTTTATTTACCCAATATTTTAATGCTTGAATATTTTCAATCTCATAATGGAATTATTTTATTGCATATTTTATATATTGGATTTATAAATGTGCTGTAACATTTTTGGTTTTGTAACCTATCTTGAGGTCCATTTTGGATAAAGATGGGATAAATTTTTAAAAATAAATAAATACATATTTTTTAAAGGGGTAGTACAAATGTAGGTTTTGGAAGGATTATTTTTTTACATGAATTTCACTGCTTCTTGTATAGTGTTCTGCTGTTGAAGAATGAAATCAAGTAAAAGCAATTGGCCAATGGAGCATCTTTTTAGGTGCATTTCTACTGTCATCCAAATAAAGTGATTGGTCCCCTGTCAGATACACAAATCTAGTCTAAATATCCTAATACATTTCTCCTTCAAAATATAGGATGATTACTGAGATATCTGGGAAAACCTGTTTAGGATTAGACTCTATTAACATAAATTGGTCTTTATGCCTGAAAAAATACAGGGTAAGCAGGTATGACAGGTTTGGTGTTCTCCAAAACTTGGTAAATATGAATATATGGTAATTATTACAGTCTATGCTCCAAGTATTTGGAGCTCCCATAGGAAACCAATCCAATTTGAATGCTGGGAGCTGTAGGCCTTTTTTTCTGTCTAAACATGCAAGGGATTGCATCTTAGTCATTTTTCACCAAAGGAAAAACTAGCTAACAACTCAAACTGACATTTGTATAAGATAGACAACACAATATTTATTTTCTTTAGAGATTTTATTTGTTTTGTTTTCTCTTTTAACAGAATATGACAGGCCATAATGAATCCTGTGGTGCAGAAGAAATACCCACATCTTATTTAACATGCCTGCTTTACATACTGGAAAGATGGACAGGTGTAGAACACCTGGAGGAATATCTGAGTTACGTGGCCTACCTCATATGGTTGTTTATGCCTCTGATAATTGCTTTTATGCTTCCTGTAGCCACTTTTGTGCTCCTTTACATTTCAATTATAATTCTTCATATTTACAAGAGACGGACAGACTTTAAAGAGGCTTATTTGAATGATTTCTGGGATGGTGCAAGACAGGTGGTATCAACTATGTGGTATGTTCATGCAAGAATATGGAATGGTAAGCATCCTCTGAAACACTCTTCTGATATGTAAGTTATCTGGATGAATTCATCTTCAGGTACAAGTATGCACATTCATGAAATCAATGTTTGACACTTAGTTATAGAGGAATTTTCCCCTTGTATTTTTAAAGAGCATCTTTTGTACAACTTTAGAATTTATTTTGGCTTCTAACTTTCAACATTCTTGGATTCAGATTGAGTCACTAAACATTATTAAGCCCCCTAGGAAGTACTTGGTAATTATAGGTGGCCTATAAGTATATGTAAATAAAAATAAATAAATAATTTGAAAAAGAAACATCAAGTAGGATTAAATGAGGACTACATACAGTTTTGTATCCTCTGGGGGTTTGAAGGAGACAGAGTACAGCAAGGTTTGTTGAAGGTTTGTTGTAGAAACTCCATTGTTTCAAATTGTTTCCCAGCTACAAATTATTCACATCATTTATATGCGTCCAATTAACAAACCCCTTTAGGCAGTTGAAGAATAGATATTTAAAAATCATAAAAACCAGCAACAATAAATGCCCTAGGATAAACAAAATGAAACAAGCCACACTAAAACAAATAAAACAATAAGAGCAATTCAGAATATCTAGCTACTTGCAATCAGAACAGGACCTGTTTGAAGTAGATCTAGAATATCCATTTTTTTAAAAAAGTGAGTGGTTATAGCTAATAAGTACCTGCTTGCACACCTTGCTTAGGAAATAAGCAAGAAACATAGAAACATAACAAGTCAGAAGGGGCCTCCCGGGCCATCTAGTCTGATTCCTGGCTCCAGCCAGCTCTGCTCATGACATGCCTACTACCTAGGCAGTATAGAAATAATAAAATAAAATATAACCTGGTAGGACATGTTTCTCTCCTCTTACCTTCCTGTAATTTACAGACACACAGGACAGTTATCCTCTGCTCCCTATAAAGCAGCAACCTGCTTCCCCACAAAAGTAGTGCAACAGGAAGTCAGCAGTTCCCAAAGTGGATGGAACTGAACTGAAACACCCTTTCCCAGAACAGGGCAGCGCAGCAGTATTGGAGCCCCACTGACTTTTTCAGTAACTGTATTAAGCTGGCATTAGCACATGTTTCTGAAAAAGGTAACTTGTTTAAGTGAAAATGCATTTCTCCTGTGTCTGACCAGATGATGTGAAGTTGGTCTTTCTAAAATAAGTAATATTTTCTGTTACAATAAGTAATATGAAAATATTGGAAAAGGTCACAAATGAAACAATAAAGTATTTATTTATAAAATTTGTATGCCGTCCAATTACTAACGTCTCTGGACGGCTAACAGCATAAATAAATTGATGACCCACTCTGGCTGCAAATTAATAAAATACAATAATAAAATTCAATATTAAAACATATTAAAATATTGATTAAATAAAAAGGTTTTAACCTGACACCGAAAAACATATAATGACGAAGCCAGGCGGACCTCTCTGAGGAGCACATTCCATAGTCAGGGTGCCACCTCAGAGAAGGCCCTCCTCCGGGTACTCTGTCTCCTAACTTCTTTCACAGAGCCCGAAAAGGGCTTCTGTTGCTGATCTCGGGGCGGGAGGGCAAATAGGGAAAAAGGCGTTCCTTTAGGTATCCTGGTCCCAAGCCATTTAGGGCTTTATAGGTAATTACCAGAACCTTGAATTGAGCCCGGACTTTGATGGGAAGCCAATCGAGCTGATAGAGGACTGGGGTTATATGAGAATAATGCCCAGTCCCCGACAGCATCCTGGCAGATCTGTTTTGAACCATCTGAAGTATCCGGACTGTCTTCAACAGCAGTCCCATGTAAAGCGCATTACAGAAATCCAACCAGGAAGTAACCAATGCGTGTGTTACTGTTGTGCAGTATGTGCAGATACAATGGCTAGATTATGCTGTTCCTCCTTGTTTCAGTAGTATTTGCTAATGAAAGCACTTCTTGAAAGGAAAAAAAGAAAACAGCATGATAGATCTCTTTATATTTGAACAGAAAAGAAAAAATTGTTTGCCTGTGAAACTATAAATTATTGGAAGCTCAAACACGTCCAAATATTCTAGGAGCATATTCTCAGAAAAAAAAATCCCTTGTATGTCACTGTAATGAGCAGCTTCATACTGCAAAACATATTTGTCTCCTAGCTTAGCCCACTAATAGAATCTAATGAATTTCAAAAGAAGTAAACAATATTTTATTTAATTTATGAAAAAAAGACAAAGCATTTCCAAAATTGGAGGATTCATTGATGGTCATCACAATAATGCACTTTAGCAATAAATTTTGGCAAATGCCTACATAACTATCATATGCACCAGCAACTACATAAACTTGTTGGTCCCACAAAACCTTGGTTGTTTTTAGCAAGAACCTGGAAAGTTTATCCAAGCATGCTAATGATTGATGATTTCTAGAGTTGTGGATGATTACTCAAGAATTCTGCATAGCATTTAGGCTACAATCCGTTGGGTTTCACCCTTGATGTCATTAGGTCCCCAGAATCAGAAGCTTATAAGTATTGTATGAAGGGCATGAGAGAAAGCAAAGGTGATCATTGCTTCCCCATTCTTCTGCCCTGCATGCTTCACTGGACTGGCTTTTTTGACTATCTGCCTAAGACTGGAAGGGGAGGATGCTTTAAAAGCTTCAGGATAACTCATATCTCTAGAGTCCTCTCCAACCACCGAAATGCCCCCTTTATCATGGTTGAATTCTTGACCCCAGAAAACAGCTGGAGTGATTCTTTCTGCTGTGTGGATGTGGGACAGGGTCGGAGTTCCAGTTCCCACTCTCTCCAGCTTGGTTCACTAACTTGGAGTCATAGGATTATGACATACACGAAGAGTTGAATTTGTTTTAAGTAGTGGTCATTGTGACTACAATGTGATATGAAACTGTGATATAAAACTGTATTTTGGCCCTTTTATTGTTTTACAAGAATGCATAAATAAAATGATCAGAGTAATATGCATGTAACTACTTAAACTGCTGGCCATCAATAACATTCTACAACATGCTCTTCCTAAGGTTCCCAACCATCCATCCATCCATCCATACATACATCCATTTTGTAAGCCATCCAGAGACTTTTAGTATTGGGACAGCATATAAAAACTTTATATAAATAAAAAAATAAAAATAAATTACAACCAAACAATTAAAACTATCATTGAATAATAATACTAATAATACTAATAATAATATAGGCAAGATCAGTTTCAAGAAACATGTCCAGGTGATATGGACAACCAAATACTAAAATACAATAAAGCTTAAGCATCTAAAAACCCATTATTAAAATCAATTATTCAAATTATTAAAATGGGGGAAGAAATATGTTATTGCCTGGCACCAAAATGATAACAGAGTTGGCTGCAGGCAAACTTCTTTGGGGAGCCTGTTCCACAAGTGGGGGGCAGCCACTGAAAGGTCCTTCTATTTACCACTCCTTTCACCTCCTTGAGGGATGGTACATTAAGAAGGACCTCTTGGTTGGGTAAATCTTATACAAGAGAAGGTGGTCCTTCAGGGTTGGAAAATTTATGACATTATTTAGAAGTAGCAATGCATAATTACTAATTCAGAAACTTGATGGTGAAGGCACAAAACTGAATGAAACTATAATGGCATATCTCTGTGAAAAATGTGTGGCATTGTAAAGAAACTGTTGAGTAAGTGTGAAAATACAGAAAGAATTAGGAAAGCAATTGATAAATTCATGTTTCAAAAGTACTAGAACTATATTTGCAAAGCCATTTAAGGCCTTAGAGAAACATTAAGGGAATGATTTTATGGACACTTTACTGCTGAATAAATATGTATATGCTCAGCAGCACATGTTGGAACTGTGAATATCTTTTAACAGATTACTTTCTATTGCATGTAAACTATAGTGAGATTTTTGATAATGTATATTATTCTGGTTGCTAAAAATGGTAAAAACTATGTATGAAGAAAAATAAGCTGTCAGCTCATTTTCTTAAATCACTATAGAGAGGTATAAACAAGAATATGAAAGAGCTAATGCAGGTAATTTTAATGGCTGTGCATGCTAATACTAATACATCTTTTGAAGAATTGCTTTAGAAATGTTGGCATGTTTTAATATGTGAAACTATGGAACTATTCACATGCATTCCCTGATTTATTCTGTGCAACACTGATAGCTTATTTCAGCAACAGTAAACATCTGTAGGAACAAAAGGTGCATTGCTTCCTCAGGGTGATGGTTGTATATAGCCTGATGACATTAATGTTATGAATATTTGCCAGACTTGTTATTTAGCTGAATAGAAAGACTGCAGCTTTTATAAAATGATAAAAGTTGACAAAGCTGTCAGCAAAGTTAGTGGAAGCAATATAAGGTGTCAAGTGGGCTAATTCACTGTCCTTGCCTTTCTTCCCCATCTTTACCTTACCTTTACCTTCCTTGCCTTTCTTCCCCATCTTTACCTTACCTTCTACTTTTCTTTCCAAGGGACATTCAGTATTTTGTTGCTCCCAGTGATCACTGGCTTTGGGTAGCATGAAGTTTACTAGCAGTGGTGTTTACACTTTTTTGGTTTTGTTATACCTCTTTGAGGCTTTCCCTCATAAAACATTAAGAAACTATCCTTGAGAATTCTTAAGGGATGCTCTTTAGAGTTCTGCTTCCTTGTATAACACATTTGCAATAGGTGCATATATACTCCATCTTTATAAGCTTAAAAACAGTGGCAGCTCTTCTCCACCCTCCTCCTACAACCAGTGCAGTTTCCCTGATTGAAATATCTCTTCCCTCATAGCTGTTATTAACCGTCTGGGGCAAAATACACACATCAGTTGATAGTAAAATACTACAAACATTTCAGATATTCTTTTTTCAAAGACGTTTTTAAAATTGCACCACAATTTCCTCTTCTCTGGTTTGAAATAGCACCAGAAACACATATTTCTCAACCTGAGAGTGGACTTGTCTCTCTGTTCTCTAAGTTCCCCCAAGTATTTTTCATAGAAGAAAAGATACTGAAAGCCACTTACTGTATCCAACTATAGTTTCTGAATTAATTTGTGCAGAAAAAATGTAACCTCTGGTTTGGATGAAAGTGTATTTTCCCATTTACCCCTTTTCTTTCAGATTTCTTGCTTTTTTGTACCATATTATACCATACTATCTTAGTTTAGTCATACTGATTAATGGAAACATCAGCAGGACATTTTTCAGTAATTTCATTCAGAGAAAGTGATAAGTAACTGAAAGCCAAAGGGTATATAATTGATAAGAATTGTTTGCATATCTGAAAAACAAAAACATGCTATATTTCTCCAGGCCAGAATCATGCTTTTAGGAGACAGCATTATGGTATGAAGTGATATCAAAATGCCAGTCACCAAAATTAAACTTGAGGTGGTTCTGTAACCAGACATCTAGATTCCTTCCCCACCCCCCATCTCCTTAAACCTTATCATACCAAAACCGGCAGAGTATTTGTATAGAAATCTTCCAGTGTCTATTTGACTCACTGGCTGGTGTGTAATCAACAAGACTCATATTGGATTTGCTGAACATTCACATTCTCTTCATTCAGGTATGATTGTTTGGCAATTTAACTTATCTGCATGTGGATCTTCATCTTGCAGTGTTTCAAAATGCTCTGTGGTGCATATTGTCCCCACCTCAAAATAGTGGTTTGAGAAACCGAGTAAAACCTGTACAAATAAAGATGGAAAGAAATAGGAGCTAAATGTTGTACAGAGCCATCTTGAGCGATCTCAAAACCTCATCTTGTTTAGGACAACCCTATAAGGGCACTACAATCCAAAGAAGTGGGTCAAGTGTGCTTCCTACAAGAGTACAAAATAGCTACAATGCAATCAAGTCTTGGCAGTCAATTTAGGCATGAAGCAACTACCTTTGAAATTCTTTCAGTTTTGATCTGGAAGTGCAAGTGTTGCATTGCCACACACTTGCAACAACTGCCTGATCCTCTTAAAATTTATTCTGCAATCTGTTGTGGCTAATCCCATGGCTTTCTTTGCACCCAGACTGTGTGATCATCCTTTTACATATCTATTTATTTGTCTTACATTGGCAGGAATGGGCATAAGTGTGATGTGAAACATAATTTATTTAGAAGATAGAACAACTAGTTGTATGTTGTTGGGTTCTATGTAAGAAAGTTTTGATGTCACCCTGGTTAGGCAGCTTTAAACAAATATATTTGGTTCTGAAATACAGAGATAATTACTGGTCTATTTTACATAGTTCTAAGGGTTACTGAGAATATGTGTGGAAATCTTTTGAGCACTTTGGCAAATAAACAATACCTAATCCTAGGCAAAATGGAGAACTGTTAAATCTACTTCATAATCTATAACAATGCAAGATACTGCAAAAGGAACAAAATAACATTCTGCTCTGTTCTGTTATGTAACTAATTGTGTTCCCATCTTAAAAATTACAGAATCACCCATCTCTGATCTCTGTCTCTGTTTCATACACAAGCTATTCTCCCCACTTTGCAGAAGTTGTCATTTGGAGGGTGAATCCATTAAGTAGTCAGTGAAATCTTTGAGTCAGATGGTGCAGGTTGCTTATCAGAAGAATAATTTCTTTGAAGGTAAAATGATTCGTAACTCTTTTTGAGAGACTAGAGCAAACATATTTGCATAAACTTGCTTCCATGAATTGAAACACTTACACTAAAATGATCAAATACACTTTTGTTTGTCTGCTATCAGAAAATAAAAGTGTCTCAAGGAAACATGGAATAAGATTATTCAGTAATAAAATGGTATCATTAATAAGATATTGCCATTGTAATCTTGATGGTGCACCATAACTTCTGTACAGAATACAAATGTTTTCTTTGGAGATAGTATTTAATGACTACAGCATTACTTAAAATGCATATGTATATTGAGAATTAAGATAATGAAATAAGTGTCTAATCATCCCCAGTTCATTCATGTTAATTAGCATTTTGGTCATTAGCTATGCTTAAATTGCTGTATATTTTTGAAAAAGCCTTTGAAATGCAACTTTCATATCATCTGTTAACCTTGAGTATCTTCTGCTCTTAACAGGGTATGAGATACATGGCCTAGAAAAATTACCTGATGGACCAGCTGTGGTTGTTTTTTATCATGGAGCAACTCCTGTAGACTTCTACTATTTGATGGCCACCATAGTTCTTAGAAAGAAAAGAATCTTCCATATAGTTGCTGATCACTTTGTCTTCTCACTGCCAGGTAAAATTCATCAAGTACAATTGTGATGTCTCTTGATCCATTAAGATTGCAATCCTATAAGTCTGCTGATCACCTAACCTGGAAGGTTATGGACCTCCTATGCATGATAGGAGGTGTGTGGAGGCCAAAATCAGCTCTGCTCCTTCAGCCATGTAAAGCACTGAGATGGACAATTTCAGCTAAGTATGCACAATGCACCACCAAAATACTGGGTATGCTGATAGAGGCTGTCTCCTTCCTTCCCCAAAAGCCAAGTTCATTCATATGGCCTCAGTTGCATCCAGTGAGGTTTTTTCTATACTGGTTGCAAGGTCAGGGGAGTACATTCTTAGCCTGAAGTCCCAGTTTCAATCTAGGAACAGATTTTCAAGGATAGAGCTGGGACTTTAATTATCCTATGGCTGTCTAGATTCTGTCTCACAGCCAAAGCATTGCAGAGAACTTCAGTTTTCTCAAAACATGCAGATATGGATAGGATTTAATTTATTTATTCAGTGAATAATTACACTGTGTGTGGGTTTCTATTCTGCAAAGTGGCTTCAGGACTGAAAACCTGAAATTAGGTTTGTTTTGATGTGATTTGACTAAATATTTTGGGGTTCTATCTTCACTTGTGAAATCACTAACTTTTATATAGAGAATGAAGAGTTGTGCCTTTTCTAGTTGTAGCAATTTAAAGGATTAAAAGTGTGTGTTTTAAAATTGTTTAAATGTCTCCAGGAGATTAGTGTATAGGAAGATGCAAGCAAGGAAAATATAATGTAATATGAACATAGTTCACTTGTTAAATATAAAGTAAGGTTTGTGAAATTGCTTGTGCAACGGGGGGATTCAGTGGAACCCCAGAAGCAGTATTGGAGGTTGCAGCATGCTACCCTTAGATGCACAGAAGCCTTAAGAACTGAAATCTACAAAATGCTTAACAAGTTTTTGTTTTTGTAATACATGATGCCTTACCTCAGAGAAGGTGTTGGGTGGGTATTCCAGGGTGTAGGGTAAAAGAGGAGACTGGTGCCACAGTAGGAAGAATCCTAGAGGCCTTTCCTCATTCCATGCTAGAGCAAAAAACTTAGGTGAAATGAGCCTTCTAAATCTTTTGCAAGAAGCACACTTCTCTAAGTTTTGAGAGTTATCAGCATCTGGATTAGATTGGCTTCTTAATCTGATTGTTATAACATTATGGAGACACTTTTATTAGAATACTTCTAAAATTTACTGTTTAAAAGTAAGAAAGATACAATAGTACTACAAGCTGTTGAGACACTAAATCAAGTTTCTACAACTTAGTCCTCTCCAAATAGTTAGAGTACAACTCCCATTAGGTTATAAACAGCTGCACTAAGTACTTTTAGCAACCAGAAAAGCTCTGCATGATATTCTGAGAACCACTCATCTATTTCAGCAGAGTTCATTTCTCTTCTTCTGAGGTTATAAGAGCACCTTCATCTTCACTGTCACTAGGTATTAGTTCCATTTCACACGGAGACATATATGTAGTAAAAAAAGTGTATTCTCTCACATACATACTAGGGATAATCTTCTGTAAAATGTCAGTTACAGCTTGGAAACTGATCTAGCCAAACATTGTATTCATCCAATCATGGATGCTAGTCATCAGCAGTTATATGAGTTCTTACCTGTTTAAAATTGTGCATATTTTTTTGTTTTGAAGCTAAACATTTAATTAGGTACCAGATTTTAGGTGTGAGGGGAAGAAGACAAGCAACAGATAGATAGATATTTTATTGTGAACCTCGTACTTGGAATAGTATACTCTTTCATGGTCTTTATCAGTATTCACAGTTATTCCTTTGTCTTTTGCTTTTACCATATTTTTATAATTAAATATAAATTGGTAAATTATAATTTTTATCCTGTGTTAATGTTACCAGTTTCTTAACATTTTCAGGTTTTCAGTTATTACTTGATGTATTTGGTGTTCTGCGTGGATCACAGGAGGAATGTGGAAAAGCCTTAAAAAGGGGGAATTTATTAGCCATTGCGCCAGGAGGATTACGGGAAGCACTCTTCAGTAATGAAAATTATACCCTTATATGGGGAAATCGTAAAGGATTTGCCCAGGTGGCTATTGATGCAAAAGTGGTGAGTGTTTTCAGGGCATAAAGTCCCTGTACAGTGATTTTAATGAAGCAAAATAGAACCATTTTTGGAGTTCTTTTTCTTTGTAAACATGCATATGATTGTATCATTAATGACTTTTGAGAAAAAATCTCTTAAACATGGTTTATTTAACACTATTTAAGTAGCAGACAAAATCCTTACTTTCCTATGACTATCACTCTGTCTTTATTCTTGCATATATAACTGATTTGAACTGATTTGGACTGATTTGAGTCCAAATGCAGTTTATACATTACAAGATTATTATTGGGGTGTATTGCTTAAAGGTATTTCAGCTTGAGTCCTGTCCATACAGTCTGAGAATTAAGGAAGATAAAGCAGAATTGGCATTTTATTTTGGTTTGTCCAAGTACAACCAAACTTTCCTTGTATCACTCTACCAAAAATTCATTTTGCCATTGTGAAAATGCTTATGTATTCAAGGATTCAAGGATTTAGGAATCTTCTCTGTCTACTTTTTAAAATTGCATTGAAAGTGTTATTTTAACCTTAAGCTTAAACAGTTTACAGGTTATGCTAGGGATTGCCAACAGATAAGGTATTGAGGACAGTACCAATTTTAATCCTTGTGCAAGTGTTAAATCAATACCAGGATTCTGTTTGTGAAAGCCAGAGCCTTTATATAAGACACACAGAGATCATGAAGAAGAATTTGCATTTTTATGATTCTGTAGCTAAAGCTCTTGGTTGGAGTAGATGGTCCAAGTTCAAATCTTAATTAATCTCTGAGGTTTCTTGGATGATCTATTTTACAAGTTGGTTGTGAAGATGGGAGAGATGAAGGACCCTTTTTCATCTTCTTTGATCAAGAGCAGGATACAACTGTAAATGTAATAATAATCTTAGTATCGCCAGTAGATGATTAGTAAAATCAATGTTAGACACCTGTCACTTTCAATACTGAAAAGATATTCCTAGTATATATCTTCTACCTTTTTATTTCAGCCCATCATTCCTATGTTCACACAAAATATTCGGGAAAACGTTCGATCACTTGGTGGACCAAGTAAGCTACTTCAGTTTGTTTTTCATATTTTGTTTGCTAGTACATTAATCAATTCCCTGTTTGAGGCTTTGTCTACCTATGTCTGATGCATATGGTAGTGATCTTCAAAGGAAAAAGTGTAGTTACTTGCACTTACGAATGCATGGAGACTTTGGGATTTCTTATACCAGAATTTAAACTATTAGCCAAAGGTTTTTGTTGGCTTAGAAATTCTAGCTTGTTTGATAACAACAAATATTAATAATCAGGTTTGGGTGCCATTCTATGATGTCTCTGCCTGGTTTCTTTAATTTCTTAAGTGAAGATAAGAGCCAAAAGTCTCTATACAGTGGTACCTTGGCTCACGAACTTAATCCGTTCCACGACTCAGGTTGTGACCCAAATTGGTCGTGAGCCAAGTCAAATTTCCCCATAAGGTTCAATGTAAATAAGGCTAATCCGTTCAGTAACCATTTTTTTAATCACAAAAATTTGAAATAAAGTGACAGAGAACAACAAAGATCATGGCCATCTCCCCCCCCAGCGATCAAACCTGTCTTCCCTGCATGAGCGCACCCACGATCGTGGCCATAGACAGGCGCAATCGCAGGTGCCCTTGGGGGGAAGATGGGTGCGATTGCGGATGTGCTCGGTGGGGAGACGGGTGCCATCACAGGTGTGCTCAGGGGGAGATGAGTACGATCATGGGTGCGCTCGGGGGGAGAGACGGGCAGTCATCATGGGTGTGCTCAGGGGGAGATGGGTGTGATCATGGGTGCGCTCGGGGAGGGGGGGAGATGGGCAATCATCACCCGATGTGGAGTTCGCAACCTGAGGCAAACTTTTTGTGAAATTTCTGTTCGTGACCTGATTTGGTTGTGAAATGAGGCATTCATGAGCCAAGGTACCACTGTATATGAGCAGACTGCTCATTCACTTTGTGGCTTCATAAACCAAAATAGTTTACTAACTGTTACTTAGGAACACAGCCATTATGCCAGAGCTGAGGATAATGTTTAGTGTTAAGTATGTTTTAGACATTTTTCCCTAGTCTGCTAGATTATTTAGACTACTAACCCTAACCCTAATGAAAATGGGTGAGTTATAGGGAGGTAGAGATTGCCCCTACTATTCCTCACTCTACATAATGTGCTCTCTTACTTTATGGTCTTATAGACCTGCAACCTATAGGTTTGCACCCTGACTCCTCTGTTTGAAGAACTCTTGCTTAGAATGCTTATTGTACAGGGCAGCTCTGGACTGAGATCCAAATGTTCTGGATTGCCATGTATAACTAGACATATGTTAAAGTTGGAAAATATTGCTGCCAATATATTTGTAATAAATTAAATAACTGAGCAAGATGACCTTATCTGGTATCCTTTTAATGCATCTTTTTAGAACTATTTAGGTGGCTATATGAGCACCTCCGTTTGCCACTAGTTCCACTGTATGGAAACTTCCCTGTCAAAATGCGTACTTATATTGGGGATCCTATTCCATATGAGCCAAATGTAACTGCTGAAGAACTGGCAGAAAAAGTAAGTTGAAGTAGCAGAGTTAAAGTCTTGCATCCTAAACATTTGCTTAGTGTCATGCTGTCCTAGAATGAAGATCCATGAGAGGCACAGCAGACTTCCAATAGCACCCTGAGGTTTCTTGCTTCAAGCTCTATGGAACTGCCTTGTACTTACTTCTGTAGCTTCCTATTGTCTACAGTGAAGGGCAGCAGCTTTCCAGTATGTTGGGAAGTAGTTTTTCCCGGGTCTATGTAGAAATGTTGGGACCTTCCATATACGAGACAAAAATTTCATCAAGTCAATGACCCTTCATTCCCTTTAGAACAAAAAATGGCATCAAATCCACCCTTTCCATTAGAAGGAGAGAATTGGAGTGGTGAGTCGACCACATGTTTGACTTTTGCCCTTTCTGCCAGATTAGAAACGACCAGGTATGAGCTGCCCAAGTGAATGATGGCAGTAAATGCCTCTTCAAAGGAGAATTAGTCCCAGCAAGTTTAAATGGTAAAAGGCATCTTGAATCATTGTACTGTGTAATTTCCGGTATTTAAATACATTAATACATTGATTATATCAACTGAAGGAAACATTCCAAGGTCAGCTGTTCCTGCTTAAACAGAATTTGTTTTTCTCAAGTTGTATGCAAACATATGTGTACACACTATATTAGTGTGAGCAAAAATTGTGCCCAATCTCTTTTAGGGCTTGCCATTGCCTGGCAGGGTTTGTGCCTCAAAAGTTTCTTCTGTGTAGCATAGAGAATAGATTGCTGACCAAAAGATTAAACATCAGTGGGACCAACAGCTTTATTGCATTGTAGGTATTGGTTGTTGTCCACATATCCAAAAGAGGAAGTCACCTCATGAAGTACAAAAGGTTGAGGACTCTCAACATAGTCTATTTTTATGTATATTATGCTGCTTAAATAGACTATATTCATCATAGGGAATTCAGGCAGTTCCCAAGTTATGAATGAGTTCTGTTCCTGATAAAAAGGAAATTCATCTTTAAGTCCAATTAGTATGTAATAGCATTACATATCATTGTCCTTCCACATTCATGGGGATTAGGGGCACAGGACACCTGTGAAGTGAGAAAAATGCAAATATTGCATTTTTCATATTGCGTATTGCCACTCCCCCTGCCCAAACTCACCAGTGTCTCTTCTTTGCAGCAAGGACATGCCAGAAAGATTTCCCTCTCCAGATGCATGGAGCAGGAAGGCATGCTTTGGAACCCTCCCTCTGTACCCTTTTACTTCCTTTCTCTCTATGGTGATGCTTTGGAGGCCTTCCCTCTCTCCTCTTTCTTCTTCTTTCTCCATGGTGATGATTTTCCACAGTAATTTTTTGAAATTAATATCCTTTATGGCAGTTTGTTAATTAGTATGGGCTGTTTATAACTTGGGGACTGTCTGTAATATAGTTTGAAAGGTATTAAAGCTTGTTTTTTCTTATTCACTTTGATTGAAAGTTGCAATAGTGAACTATTCTTTTTCTCTTTTCCTTTTTCCTACCCCCTTTGCCCTTTTCTTTTTCTTCTAGGCAAAGATTGCAGTACAGTGTTTAATAGACAAACATCAGAAAATACCAGGAAATGTATTTAGGGCTCTAATGGAAAGATTTCAGACACAGACAAAGGAAGACTAATATTACTGTGGCATTGTAGCTAAATGTAAAATATTTTAGAGTTATGTTTATATTATGATTGTAATATTTACAATTATGCAAATTAGAATATTTTTCCAATGATCTTGCTTCACTCTGGGGTTTAGGCATTTTGCTACTTCAATATTAATACAAGAATTTGATATTTAAAAGCACATACAGCTTTAATTAGGACTCACTTGAAAAAATAATATTTTGGTTTGTATAGAAAATATATAGAATTTGTAATTTCTTCCCACCCTTAGAGAGCAACTCTGTGGCCTTCAGGCAGTGTCTGAGGATCCCCCCTGCCCCCCTGGGATCCCCCCCTGCCCCCTGTGTCTTCAAAGGTAGAAATGGCCAGTCATATTTCTATTTTCCTGCTGTTCTGGTGCAGCTTCTGTCCTGAATTGGGAACTCTGTCCTTGGGATGAGGATGGAAACTATGTGTGGTGATGTACCATTAAGGGAAAAAAGGATGGGAGAGGCCACAGATCTACTTGAACCAAAGGTTCCACATACTACTCATCTGGACAAGTTCAAATGCCATGGAGTGAAAAAAACAGAGTAGGGGAAAGCTTCTGTTGTTTCTGTACTGTACAAATACACCCTAGAAGACTAAAGCTGCAATTCTGTGATCTGTGAGAAGGCTTTAGTATGTGTTAGGCAAAAATTTGAAGCACATAACAAACATTTAACATGTTTTATCTGTATAGAAGCACTACATTTTACTGAGATTCAAACGAGTGCAGTTAAAATTCTTTGCATTCTTTATGCACAGCAGTTCTTTTGTGAACTTTTCCTCCATGTCTTTACCCAGTACCATAAGAAAAGCGGCATCCATAATGGCACAGTGTAACAAAGGGTATTTTCTTTTTAAACAATCATATCCATGAATCCACTGGTTGTCTTTGATGTATCAGAAAGATAAACTATGTATAGAAATATACTGTTGTGATCAGCCTTACATTTCAGCACTTCCTGGAAGCCATAGTAGGAAAGAGTTATATACGGCTGAACACCAGGAATTCCAAGCATTAAATAGAATAGTGTACTGACAGAGAGGGATAGAACACACTTGTTCTCAGTGTAAAAATTTCAGCAGGCTGCTGCAGGAGGATGTTATTTTCTCTTTTTGCCTTCCCTTGACAGTCTTGGAAAGTTTGGCGATCTAGTAACCTTTTTGGATTTGTTTACAAGACTGAAGTATATGTTTTCCAAATATCCTGGAAGCAACATTGCATGGTTATAAATATAGTTCCTGTGCTTTGGCACCATGAAAGTGGAGAAGTATGAGGAATTTTGTTTCTGTTGGTTTTGATAACCAGTTTGTACCTTTCAGAGTGAACATTAATTTGTATGCGATCATGGTTGAAGTCCTGTCATTTCCAAGCTTACAATATGAGTCATAGACCAAAAGAAGTGCACAGAAGTATCTACATTTGGAAAAATGTGCATGACTGATTTTCGTGTCAAAAGGGGGGAAAAAGCTTGTAATCTCATATGAATGTGTCAGAACAAGCTTCAGGATGGAATTTGCAGAACTTTGGCAAGCTTGGGTTTTGCTAATTTGAACATACCTACATGGAACCCATCAAGAAACCCATGCATCTAGTTTGAAACTTGTTCTCGTGGGTCAGCCTTATACCATGGAATCTCCAGGATAGCACCAGCTACTGCTGGAAAATTATGGGCTTTAACAAGTAACTGCTACCACACAGGATCATTTTCTTGCAGTCTCATCTTGGCTGCCATAACATGTAAAGTAGCCCTGTGTGCAAACTGATAGATCATGCTCCTTGGATTGGAATTCAGCTTTCTGTACCAAAACTAATAACCTTCAGGCTTTTGTTATAATCTCTGAAAATACCTGTTGAAATGTGATGACAAATTTACAAGAAACAAACAGATTTCCTTTATAACTAATCAGGAGATGGTGAATATCCATGGATGTGACTTTTTTTTAGACCTGCCTTCAGAGTAATAGCAGTAATTCTTATAAAAACAGCACAAGGATAATTAATTATTTCTCAGCTTACTAATTCACTCTGTACTCTTTTGGTCTGCTTCAGATATTCTAAAATTATGTATAATTATGCCTGTTAAAATTAATATTTATTTATTTTATGTAGTAACCTTCTAAAAAGACATTTATCTTGCATTTTGGTTTAAATACAAGATACTTTTTAAATTATTGGGAGCAATAATGTTCTAGCAATGGGGGTTTTGTTATTCATACATTTGAATATGATACTGAAATAGACATATTACTCTTAAATATTAAAGTCATTCAACATCATGTATATTGTAAGCTTTTGAGCTCTAAGTTTTTTTAAAACCTTTTTAAAGCATAATTTAAGTGATGTACAAAGAAATGCTGATAGTACCATTTTTGCAAAGCAGAAATGTAGCTTTTTCTTATTTTTCAAGTTTCAAAATGTATAAATAGGGCCCTATCCAAACCTTTATCCAAGCTAGAGCTATTTGAACTGGGTAAGATATCCCTTCACTGGTAGAAGCAGTCCTGTTGAATCTGGATTAGGAATAATCTTTGGAAAGAAAAGAAAAAAAGTTTTCTTTCCCATATAACATCTCCAGTATAACTTTCCCCCCTAAATTCCTGAATAAATAACATAATTTTACATATTTTATTATAGTCTCATGACACTGAGAGCCAGCATGATGGCATGGTTAGAGTGTTAGACTGGGGCCCAGGATCTAGAAACTGAGATCCTGGTTCTAGTTTCCACTTGGCCATAAAGCTCTGTGGGTGACCTTGGGCCGGTCACTTAACCTAACGGAGTTGGTTGTTGTAGAGTGGAGGAGGACTATGAAAGCCTCTCTAAGTTCTTTGCAAAAGGAAAAAAGTTGTATATAAATTTAATGTTTATGTTTAATTTCATTTGCATACTGCATAATAGCCAAAGTGCTAACCCTAATAATTTATGCAGTATAGTAAGCTAACAAAAACAAATGAGCAAAGAAGCAAAACCTAAATACAATAAAATTGTTTAACATTTCAGTACAAAATTTAACACAGTATTCCAAATAATTAGAGCAACCAAAACATGTTCTTTGAAGTAATGCCTTCCAAACTGTAACTGTAGCCATAGCTATAAGGTAGTTGGCAATGGTGAACAGTAAGAATGTCTCACCCTTCAAGGAAAAGCATCTCTTCTTCTACAGCAGTGTAATGTAATAGTATTGTATCATATGTAAGTTGAAGGTTGTACAATCGTAGCCAGGGAGCCAGTGTCTACCCCTTCCCTTCTCCTGATTCGAATTGGTATCAGTACAATACACCACTTCTATTTTAATTCTCAGTATAATAAAACGTCATGAAGTTTTTTTTCCCATTAAGACCTGAAATAGCATCTTTGTTAGTGTGCAAACTGTTCAGCAAGTAGTCTTTTGGCACCCCTGTTGTGTATCATTGCAGGCTACATGGGTGTTTTCAGGGATATTACTCTTTGTGGTTTCTTTTCCTGACTAGGGTGGGAGACGTTGATGTTCTTATAATTTAGGAAGCAAATGAAAGGACACAATCCGGTGGTCTTTTGATATCATCTTGGAAACAATAGGATGCTCAGATTACAGCGACGTCCTCTGATTATAGTGCTCAGAATCAGCCAGAATGGAAAGAACCGTGCCAGTATTTATTTATGCAAGGTCATTCCTGGCCTCATAGAGGGTTGGAGACTTAAATTCATCTACTACAAGGGTGGTATGATTGCACCAAATATGCTTAGTGTAATAGCTAGCTTGTATAGTTTTGCTGCTGTGCCGCAGGCTCACTGCTCCTAATTTATTTTATTTGTATCAGCCTTAATTTTTTATGGTCTTTCATGCTGCTTTTATCTTTTGTAAACTGATTTCCAAAGTAGCCTGTAATTATTAAATCATGTAGTTTTCTGTGGAAATTTAAACCTTTTGTTCAATGTTTTACCTATTAAAAATCAAACTTCTTAATGCTGAAGTGTTTAATGAGGCACTTCAGTAGGGATATGGGTTAAAGCACTTTCTCTGTATTAAAAGGTAGCACTATCTGTAATAGCCATTTCAGAGTGCAATCATACACACACTTAAGGGAGTAAACCCCTTTAGTACAGAGTGTACCTTTGAGTAAACATACATAAGTTTGTAAATTAGGACCAGTTCCTTGTAAGTTAGCATTAGATTAGTGGAAGCTGATAAGGGAAAAAATGTATGTCTTGTGAACTCCATCTCTGAAATAAGTGAAGCTAGAAGAGAACATCGTGTGACCATTTTGTTTTTACTCCCAAATGACATTGCTGACTTGAATTACATTGGTGTTTCACATTCTGTTTACCCTACTGAATTCTGTTATTCAACTGTTAATAAGTGTGTGTCGCAAATACAAAGTGAGATGAGGTCAGGTGGATGAAGCAATTTTGAAGTTCCAATTTCACACAGATATTAATGCTTTGCAGGCTCTTGCAAATTTGAAAGATGGGGCCAGGCTTACTTGATATTACTTTAAGTGGTTTGTTTTTCTAAATTATTGAACCTACATATCAAAACGCAGTATCATTTTGTATAATTAAAACATCTGAATAAAGTTAAAATGTCAGCTAGAAAATATCCTGTATGCATTTTATTGCTGCGAATGGTTACCACTGTCTTCTGCAATGAATAACATGGACAACTAAATTATTTTAGGGTACAATCCAAGGCCCTGCCCTTCATGCAGATTGGCTTCCTGCATGCATCCAATGCACAGTGCAAACATGGCACTGTATTTTATCCAGATAGCTGTTTTTGGACATCTAAATTAAGCACTAAGCGAAAGAAAAAGAGGTGGAGGTACTGATACAGATTAGTGTAAGCCTTTGCCCCAGCCTCTCCCCCTGCTGCTCCATAGCATTCCCCTTTCCCAATTTGCTTGGAGTATGTTTTTCCTCTATGCTCTCTTTACTGGGGGTGGGTAGTCAGCCTTCAGATACTGAGTTTCAAGGTCACAGGACTCCACATAAACCTGTGGGCCCTCAGACAGTCTCGGGAGGGCATAGAATTGTCCCCTTGGGTGCTTTATAAATAACAAACTGCTGAGTGAAAAGAACTTGCAAGCATTTTCAAATGAAGACAAATTGAAATGTGTATCGGCACTAGCCGGAATCAGAAAAAAAAAAAAAGATATATACTGTAGACCCCTAGCATAATGGATATCCCATGGTATTAATTACCTATCAGTGATTACTTTAGATTTCTTCTCTGTTTAGAGTATCTTTTTTAACACTGCAAGCAATTTTTGTAGACAGTGCAACAAACATAAAGCAAAAGTCTTTGCTGATCCATAGTTTCAACAGGTTGAGCCCAATGTGGTGGTCCACTGATCAGGGATTAGCAGTGGTGCCCACAGCTTTTCTTCAAACTCTGAAGGGTTCCTGTGGGGTCTAAAGGTTGAGAACTCTTGCTCCAGAGAATATTGGAGTTAATCAGAAGGGTCTTTAAAGAGTTTGGGAATTAATATTTGTGTAATTATAAATTATATAATTATATATTTTAAAAATAATTATAAAATTTCTTGAAGAAATTTCCTTTTAGTAAATGGAAGGCCATACATTTTGATGAATGCAGACATTGTGGAAATGTAGTCCACAGCTGTTTATATGAGGAAAGAAGGCTGTAGATTTGATGGGTTAATGGTCAGAGTTTATCAAATGTTTAGATGATATAACAGTAAAACAGAAACAAAGCAATTTGAAAGTTCTAGTACCTTGGATCCATGTTCAAACAAAGGTCCTTTGGATTTTATACCCTATGGACATACAACTTAATCAAGATTTCTGTATTATGGAAATGATGATAGTAGATTAAAGGTAATATATGTATCATGTGGGCATATATAAAAACAAGAAATGTCTCAACAGGATTTATTAAAATGTAAGATATAGGAGTAGCTCTGATGGATCAGACTTGAACACTATGTCATCCAGCATCCAGAGCCAAGGTGCCTCTGGGAAACCAAATAGCACCTTTCCATTTGTGTTCTTCAGCAAATATTTGTTTTTCAGTTTCTGCCTTTGGTATGCAACCTAGTAGCATTTGCCTAATCCCTTTTTAAATTGCTTAAAGCTGTGTAAGTAAATTCCATACTTTAATTACATTCCTTTGCCTGTCCCAAATTTCCAACCATTTAGCCTTTTTGGATGACACCAAATTCTGGATTTTGAGCAAGATGATTAAGGTCAGAATCTTACATCCTTTGACCTCTATGCAAGGATGTAGCCTCTGAACTGGAGGGCTTCCATCCTTTCAGCCATCATCACACTCTCTGTGGTTACATGCATATGATGCACAGAGCTAGGTGTGGCAGCAGTTATCTCCACTGCTGTCACCCTTTGTGTCATGCATTTCTTCTAAACAGCTGTTTAGATCTGGATTAAGCATCAAGGAAGAGGATGGAAGGAGGATGGGTGCTGAAAGAATTGGCACAAGGAGGCAGCCTTTCCTGTCCCTCAGCCCTACATCATGCCCCTTTTCATCCTCTCTGAGGCCCATTTGTGACCTCAGGGAAGCAGTTTGTACAGTTCTTTCTGCACCAGCTATGAGGCTGGGGGCCCAGCAAACAGAATCCCAGCTCCACGGTCACAAGGTCTCTGAGCAGGGATTCCAGACAATCCTATGCCACCACAGACAATATTAGGAAGACATAGGATTATACCTTAAATTATGGTTTCAGGACAGCAACAAATCTCAAAAGAATAAGCATTGTGAAGCAGCCATTTGGTACTGAAAATCCCATTTCACGCAGTCAAATGTATTTTGAGATCAGAGTGATGGTTAGTCTCACCACAGTGTCCAGGTTAAGTTAGGCCAGAAGACTTTATCATACTAATTCTAGAAAATAAGATGTTCTAAACCAGCACTCCACAACCTGTTGTCCCCAGATATGCTGAACTGCAACTACCTTCATTCCTAGCTATCATAGAAGTTGCAGGCCAATTCATCTGGCAGATAAGAGGTAAAGGAAGGCTTAAAAAGGAAGAAGTAAGTGGCCGTAAATTGTACATCATCAGTTTCTTTGCAACCCCACCAACCTCTCCATATATATTTTTCATCCCATCCATCTGGTTTTGCTTCTTCTGAACAATGAGAATTTTATTTTTATTTTCTGCTTCCTTAGGAGGAATGTGCCGATAATGTTTGTGATCCTTAGCTAACGGTTGCACTCTTTTTTAAACTTCTTTGAAAACCGTATAGAGTTAACATTGGTTGGTTGTCAACTTTTTTTGTTTTGTTTAACGCATTACATTTATATTCTATGTTTCTTTCAGCATGGAATGTACTGTACAAAAGGCATTAGTCAATGTAGACCTCCAGGCCATGCCCCAACAGCTCCCTATTTCCCAACTTCAAATGTAATTGGCCATGATTTTAGTTTGTTTCATTTATATTTTTCATAACTAGATCTGACTGCCTATTCTCTAGAATAAACCAGATGTTTAAATCTGCAATGAACTCTCTAGAAATCAAGTTTGAAGAACATTTGGCTCTTTTGTAAAGTAACATAACAGTTGGCAGACATGGCATGGTTATCAAACTTTTTTTATCATTATTTCTGGTTGTGTAGGTTAGAAAACTGGACTGCTCCCTGTCAGTGAGCCACCTAAGCACAGCAGCATTAGACCCGACCAGTGTGGCTTCAGTTTTCTGAGGGCCCTTTGAGGGCCCTTAGGCAACCATTCTCAGTAAGTTGACCTTCTAACTGTCCTTGTTACCAGTTTCTTTTCTTTTCAGCCTCTTCCTCACAATTTTGTTTGCTTGCTTGCTTGAGAGGCAGAGACCCAGTGAGCAAGTAGGCTTTGGCATCTCCTGATCCTCCTCATTGCCATCAGTGTCTAGGTCAGAGGAAGAAGTAGATGGACAAGTATATTGCAATGGTGATGAGGAGAAACTCCAGGTGGTCTTGTCAGTGAGCCCCTGCTGCAGTGTGGGCCTCAGCAGGTAAGCATCACTGCTTACCTTTGATGTCAACTCTAGTCCCAGTTGATACAGTGAATTGTTAGACAGAGTTCAAGTCCTGGGGAAGTCCTTTTGAGTTTCCCTTCTGTTGCAGTGATTTCAAACCACAGCAGTTCAACCATCCCAAAATGAATGGACATGCTGACTTAAGTTGAAATAGCTGCTTTCCCATGCAGTTTTTATACCTTGCATCCCACGACTGTCTAATTTGGATAAGGGGTGCATGCCTGCATTTTAGGTTGCCAAAAAGGTGTCATTCATTTCAATTCTACTTTCTTTGACACTACAAATTGCAGACATAAAGGGGAATTTTCTATAATAGGAGTTTTAAGGATTATAGCCCACCTTATCCACCATGCTACACTTTAATCCAGAGCTGTGGGCACAGAACTTTCCCCCTGAAATAATTTGAAACTCCTCCACCACCAACTCATAAATCTTTGCAGTAAAGGCCAGGACACGCCGCTCAGGTAAAGTGCAGTTCAGTATGCAGATACATGTACTGTACTGCTGTTGATCACATCCATGACTAAGTAAGGTCCATTAAGTATTGTTGGGCAATCTGTGGAAACAATAAATTTATAAGCAAAGAATAACCTGCTAAAAAGAATCCACAGCATCAGTAAAATGACCACAGTGTACTTTATTTAATGATTTGGTACTTTGTGTTGCAATAAAATAAAAAAAATCTACAAAATCCAAATATATAAAATTTTCAAGTTTTCCTTTGAAGTTTTACAAGAAAAAATCAAGTTGTAACCAAAGAAATTTGTAAGTATGAAGCACTACTTTCAACTTCATTTCATCACAAATTGCAGTTTACTTAACAGACCAAAAGAACTATGGTACTGTAGTACATCAAATACTTCACACACTGTGTTCTTTACTATAGCACATGTAACCACTGCCATGCAAGACAGTGGTCTCTAGCCAATAAAGACACTCTTCACAATTGGGACTCTAAAGGAATGTTTGTATACATGAAATCTGAATATAGCTATTTACAGGAAGGATTTCTTTTCATTAACTATTTTAAGTCTGCATTTCGAACGAAATACCAAATATATTTGTACAATGTTTACAAGTCATAGCATGAGAATTGTCATGAATATCATTCAACTCGAGTCACTGTGCTTGTACTGAAGGAAATATATCTACACATTTCCATAAACACAAAGGTGATCTTTCAGAACTCGTTTCTGATAATGATAACTATTGAGGGAAAGCACAGTAACAATTAGTTAGCACAATCAGGGTATAATGCAACAGTTTACAAGAGGAGCTGAGAAAGTATTGGTCCACGCTATCCCTTTTTCTAGGCTGCTTCCAACAGTAACTTGTCATTTTTTTCTTTTTTCTTTTTGGTAAAGTGTCATATAATTATAGTTCTGATTCAGGATAAACCAAAGGAAAAAACACATGAATAGGCAACTTAAGCATATACAAGTGGCTTATGTGGTTTTGTGTGTTTGTTCTTGGATATTTAAACTGCCTATCACATACCCAAGATCCTGATCCAGCTATGCATGCACCTAGCAAACATCCTACATCACTAATCAAGATGGTTGATATTAAGCACATCATCCATTTGTTTAAAGGAAAATTGGTCTGAGA